AGCATCATCTGCGCAAATTCGGTAAGGTTAAAGCATTTCTGGATATTGGTGCAAGTCATGTTTGGAAGTATGGCGATGAGATAACCTTTCAATGTTGCTTTTTATTGTCAATTATGTCTAACAATACAAATATTTGCATATAGTTGTAATCAAAGCCCGAGGAAAATACCTGAGTCTGAAGCAAAATTCCTAATTACGACAGTTTATTATGCTATCATTTGTTTTGGTAATTTACTGTACTTTCTATCAAGACGCGTGTAAACTATTCTTGTGTAAAAAATTAAGCAGAAGATAGCAGAAGAAATCAATTTCATGCAATTGAATCATTGCTTTATCTATCAGAACGCCATGAAAAGTAAATGTGTGATGATGATTGGTTAGATACGACAATCTCTGTAATTAAACCCCACCTAGCGGTCGCTGCGTGAACTGTTGTGATAACAAATGTCATTTAGGTGATACATAAATCACAAAACCCAAGACGGGTAGAATTGTCAGTTATGATGGTCGATTTAATGTAGTAAGAACAAGACAGATACGATAGAGAGAAAACTATATTTCGGTCATCATTTATGCTAAGATAGTTTTTATAGTGTTTTTATACCATGTTAATGCATGCGTTTGTGTTTCTCGAAAACCTTAATTCAAAAGCCGAGAATGAATTGCCAAACTACCTTGACTTTGTATAATATAATTTAATATGGAATTTCACAAGGTTTTTCTTGTGAATAGTCCAGTAGTTTTACAGTCGAGGGGAGAATGGCTTTCTGCAAGAATATTCATTCTTCTAAATTCTATACGACCAAAGTGCAAAAATTCCTCAAACCAGAAAATGAAATAACATCCTATGTTTCCTAGGATTTTCAGAATCGAAAGAATTGGCCAAAATAGATCAAATCTATAAAAATTTCAGGCCCTGTATGTGATAAAATACATACTACTAAAATGTGCATCATTTAAGTAAAACAGTAGCTGAATTAATATAGAGATTACATGTATATGTAGATTATTTGATATTCTGTTGATAATTAGATATCTTTCAGTAAGTTTCTGGAAACAAAAAAAAAAAAAAAAAAAAAAAAAAAAAAAAAAAAAAAAAATCAATATCTTGATCACAGTCATCGAAAAATGAATACTCTCAGGATTTTTTTTTTTAAATCACTTTATTTATTCTTATTTTATTAATTTTTTTTAAATTTTGTTTTATCTCATTATTTTTTTTAGTTCGTTACTTTTTGTTTCTTTGTTTGTTTTTGTTTGTTTGTTTGTTTGATTGATTTTCTTTTAAAATTATATATTTATTTTTGCTTGTGTATTTGTTTTGAATTTAATGTTGGTGGAGGAACGGTTTTTCGAGTTTTGACCTATTCATTTTTTTTTCTACATTTAAAATCATGCCTCGGATTTTTCTAATTAGAACACGCTAAGATTTATATACATGTATAATGCTTATTCAGACTTTCACAAAATAAACGAAAAAAAAAAAAAGAGACAAAGATCAAGACGCAAAAGTGAGTCAGATAATCAGATTTTTTTTCAGCGAATATTCTACATTGTAAAGAGAATAATGAGAAGAAAATGCATTTTTCATAGGAAATTAAAGTTAAGAAAAACTGCAATATGAATAGGCTTTGTCCATCTTCTGAACTTAATGAAAAAGGTGAAGAGAACGAACAGTACTCTTACTAGTAAATCCAGTAAAGAATACGAATCGTGACCAGAGTTAAAAAAAAACCAAGGGGTGGGGTCAGGTGCTTAGGAGGAGTAAACAAACCCTGTATTGATCAGGTAAATGTAGTTATCCGTAGTCAAGGTCATATAAAATCAATGCCTAAAAATTGATGGGAAACATTTCGGTCAAAATACGACACAACTATAGGTTGTATTTGCAGACAAGGTCATTATTACAGACATATCATCTGCGAAATACTGATTTTTAACGATAAAAATTGAAAACCCGATAACATCAACTTATTTGTCAGTAGACTCTCTTGGTTTAAAATTGATCGCAGTCAGAACATGCCCTTGAGTATCGAATCAGTTGGAAGACATAAACACCATATGCAGGTGATTGTGGAATATTAGAGGGCAGAGCTCTCTCACGGGCCCGAATCATCCTGGTTTTTTAAAATACCCTTTTATTATCGGCCGCAACAGCGGCCGATCTATTTGAGGTTGTGTTAGAAAGTGAGACGTTATTTCTTTATTATTTGAATAAAAAAATTCTTTATTGATAACGTGTATAAAATCATGAGAAAATATTTTAAAACTTGCTTAAACTAACTCTTAACTGTTGTTATTATGTTTCAATTTCATTTTCATTCCTCATCAGATAATTATTACTTTATGATTATATAAAAAGAATTTACAATAGGTACTCCCCAACCTGGGAGTGTGTAAGATACGAACGATAGATACGATATAATTTTCCGGATAATAAATAAGTGGTAAAAGTGCATGATTAATAAAAAATGAAAAGTTGTCCAACTAGTATAAATTGTTTTGAATATGCCATAGCTGCGAGTGACACAAGCCTAGAATATTTTTCTATATTTTGCACCTACCGTTCACGGAAGCTCAATCGGTAGAGCGCTCGCTCCGTGATCGGGAGGTCGTGAGTTCGAATCTCGGCCGCGACTGACCTAAGTCGATAAAAATTGGGTAGCAACTGTTCCTTCGCCATGCGCTCGGCACTTTGAAGTGAAATTTGCGAGTCCTTCTGATGCGACCTTAAAAACCGAGGCCCCGGTCCGTGTCACGGCAGGCGTTGGCACGATAAAGATTCCTCACTGCTCAATGGACCTGAATGCCGAGTAAAGGTCAAAATTTGAAGCCCTTCCCCGGTATATGGTGACGTCTCTATATGAGTGAAAAATTCTTGAATGGGACGTTAAACAACATACAATCAATCATATATTTTGCACCGCGCCGTGCAGCATAGCCTACTCTGCAGTAATCATCGGCATCATCACGTGACAAAGATCCAGAGCATCAGCACGTGGTTCATCTTAAGATCTGAATATAAATAGGCCCACATCTTCATTTTGATGACAATAAATTCGTTTGTTATACCTTTAAAAATTTGTTTCTTTATAAATCAATACTAAAAAAAGTCTAACATTTCCAATGTTTTACTGAGCAGTCATAAAAAAATCCGCCGAGTGAGATACTGGACCTGTCGATGAGATGTTGGACAACTTACGTCACGTAAGGGGCGGGGTCAGCTAAATCTCATTTGCATTCGTTGGTATTCGACATAAATGTATGTCAAATAAAAATAATAAAACAAATAAATAAAAGGTATAACAAAACATTTTATTGACTGCGTTCTCGGGCAAAATGCGTTTTGTCGACCCCTCGATCCAAACTGTTTGCCTTCGGCCTAACGGCCTCAGGCAAACAGTTTGGTTCTTGGGTCCGACAAAACGCATGTTGCCCTCGAACCCAGTCAATAAATGTATTTTATCACTGACATTTTTACATCGACAATTTAATTTGATGAACAAAGGCAGTAAAATTTCTATTTATTTATTTGATTTGATTTGATTTCTTTCTTTCTTTCTTTTTTCCTTTTTTTTTTTATTTATTTACTTTTTGCTTTGAAGACAGTCTGAAATAAAAATAATCACTCTTTCAGCTTTGAATTTCTTGTGCTTTTTTTGGATGCTTAAGAACTTTTTGAAATGCAAAATTTTGTTTGCGGCCGATATGATGCTTTGCATCAATTTTACTTGTTAATCGTGTCCTGATTATCGGTACGTCATTGTCGTATTGTGATGCAGAGGGCTGGAGGGGGGTCAATACATCGATACATAAAATGAAGTATCATGTTGTAAATTTTGAATTTACTAGGGGAGTTTGATGTCCTGACCATGTCCTGGGAGTGACAGATGAGATGTATCTGGACTGGTGTCTTTAAATGTGCAAATTATAGGCATGAAGGTGAAAGTATACTGATCAGGCAGGTTCGTTCACTGTTCTACAGATACATAGTTGGAAGGGTAACTTTGCTCTGGCAAGACGACTCATTATGAAATAACTTAGTAAAAGTTATTCCAGACTTATTAAAACAAATACTTTTAAACTTCATTATCTGTTTGTTTGTTTGTTTGCTTGATTTATGTCCCTAGAAGAATTTTTCAATCATATTGGGACGTCACTACTTGCCGGTAGAGGGCTGCATATTTAGACCTATACTCGGCACTTACGGCCTTTAAGTGAGGGATCTTTTTCGTGTCAGCATCTACTGCGACACGGGACCTCGGTTTATACGGTCTCATCCCAAGGTCTCATCTCTACGTCACACACAGTGGATTCGAACCCGCGACGTAAGGATCAACCCTTTTGTTAAAAAATTGCATGAGGCCTACTTAGACTTCGTTTCGAAAATGCAACTATCCGGTAGTCTGTTTCGAGTACGATTTTGAAGTTTGAAGAGGCAGATCAAAGTTTCAAATGTAAGCTGTGTACAGGTTTTTTGATGGTACAATTGCGCTTGCCCAAACAGTCACACCGTAAAACATATTAGCGAGCGCAGCGAGTCCAGTAGACCGACGTCTTGCAAAAATAAACTATAGTACAGCAGTATATAGTACGTTACGAACGATTTTCAGAGACCTTGAATATTACAACATAACTTACATATTTAACTAATGAAACCAATCCAATATAAACAGTTCACTGTTTTCTCTTTTAAAACACGTTCATTGTGTTCCATTGTAAAGGTACAATTTTCTATTGCTCCATGCATAATTTTTTTTCTCACATGACATGAATAGCCTCTTTCAAACTCTTTTGAATGCCCCTAATTGTAAGTCGATCAAATTAACATTTAACATCGAGAAGTGACAGATCTCTCAATTCAAAATATCCCAAAATCTATTAAAACAAATATTATAGCAATCATTGGTCCTACACGATTTATCAAATTCTCTTATAAGGAGAAGCGAGCAAATTGTTTGCAAACATGTCTATATCCTGTTGGTCAATGTGAGCATTGTGGATGGGTCGATGGTGGATATTTGATCTGTGACAGGTTCATCATTTTATCCTCCCTTCCGTCAACAGAAGACCAACAAAAGACAGCAGACGAACATAATAAAGACAGACGAGCGTTCCGGAAATGTTGATTACTAGGTCTGATTTACAGTTATGAACATTTACTAATAGCAGTCAATATTTGACTGTTTGTCAGGCGATGCGCTTCTTTCTTCTCCGCACGTGCCTCCGTTCCCACAGATTCACGAGAAAAAACGCGCTAGAAACTTGCAACTTGCGCGCACTTCCTGACAACCATCGATACAGCTCTGCTGAATTTTTTGTGAGATCACGCTCTGCACGTGCTTATATCTAGTGAAATTTGATTGCTGGTCATTACTATATCGGAGATTTCTAAGACAAGGCGGTCAATAGCAGAAGATTACAGGAGACACAGAACAGTATCCGGTTCATCAGTCGCTTTACTACTTCACCATGTTATATATCTACTTTGATATACTACTTTAAGAGAACATCTATAGTACTATAAAAACCTTGTCATATGAGTGAAAGGGTTTTTCGTGGAATAAAATGAGGACTTTATATTGACTAGCGTTAGTATGTGAGATAATAAATTTCTACAATCAAAAATATGGAAGTGTATGAAGTACTCAGATTCACCGAAATTGCATTTTGTTTTCTTGGAGTTCTTTGCAAAGGTCTGTATTCATTTTTACTTAATAATATTTTTCTGCATAAATATTTTTTTTTATATTTATTTAAAAAAAAAAACAAATTGTATTGAAAATCATGTTCAAAGACTATGTTTTTATACCAATGTAAGATAATTTTTTTCTGTCATTTTGATACTTTATTATACAGACGCTTGTAATGGATTTATCCATAAGTAACTTGCCAGCTGCATGGCTTTTGTCGGAAATTCTAGTATTAATTGGTAAAATTTACTAAAATTACGACTAAGCAGATATCAGCTGTCGTTTTTATGTTGGTATTCAAAGTTTAATCTACCCTTTGCAATCTACACGAGGTCTGGAATTTTTGTATCAATAATTATTTGACAGTAATACAACATAAAACCCTCTCTGTTTGTTTTAAGCCATGAATACCTTGCTTTTATTGCAAATATTACCATTTTTCATAGACAGTTTCCTAATTCTATCCAAGATTGATTTGATAAACCGTTAATCTCACAAATAACGAGTGATCGATCCAATCGTCTATTGTTTACTAATGTTTAAGTCTAAGTCCTCTTTTGCCGACTAAATACATAAGTGTATTGCTTTTTAATGTCCTGTTGGTAATTCTTAGTTTAAATTATACCAATTTCTATGGTTAAATTGATCAAAAACATTAATACTCATATTTAAGAAACATCTTATGAAGGTTTATTAGGTAATGAATAAGTACGAAATTCTATTTTTTACGCTCTTGTTTGTAATTTTATTTCTTCTTTTTTTAAAGTAGGTATGGCATTAATCTGCTTCATGTTCATTGTTTTTTATTATACTAATTTGCTATGGACTCTGTAGACTATAGCCCTTTCCATATTGTTTAATGCTCTAACGAGAAGTTTGAAAACTGCATATATATATATATATATATATATATATATATATATATATATATATATATATATATATATATATATATATATATATATATATATATATATATATATTTCACTTGATCTTGAATCATGTTACATCCGAGTAATCCGAGACAAAAGAGGCACCAATAAAAGAAATGTGCAATTGATCATTAATTTGTTTCAGTTTAACAATCTCCTATTCCGAGATAAATTGCTTCTGATTTACATTCTGTTTATTAAATTATTTATGCAGGACGAATCTGCTTTTTAAAGCATAAAGTAATTTTATCAAAACTTTTCTTCTTGGCAATCCTGAATTCAGAGAACAATATAGTCCTAAGCAGGCTCGATTGGTCCATTGGTCACTTAATGGATATATCGCAAACCAACACAAGCATATCTTGATTTGGAGACACACTGGCTCTGTCATTGAGTCATTTCTAAGATAACTTAGTAATAAGTTTTGGTCAATGGATTGTGATTAGCAATCGGAACGCTTTAGTTTGTCCACTGTACTTGATGAAGCTGCTCCTTCAAAGAATGGTTCAGCCAATGTGGTCAATGTTCCTGAGCTATGTCCGGAGATTTGTTTATGTGAACAGAAAAGATTCACTCGCGCTGTCTTCCAACTGTATGGATTTTTATTTACTTATAATGGTATATAAATTAAGCAAGTTACGATTCTTATGGTAGACATTTACGAACAGACTAGCGATGATCTCAATCTCTCTCATCATGATTACTTATAATATCCTTTAAAGACGTACACGTATACTAGTGTCTCAGTCTTCCACAAAGTTTAATGGATTGCCAGTTTTTAATTTACAAATAGGTTTTGTCCTTTTAAAGTGCCTTTATAATTTTAAAGCCACTTTTCAGGAAAGCTACTTTTAAAGTTCTTAAGTTCAGATAAATACCAAACTTAAGCAATAGATTTGCATAGGAATACAAATGATACTTAAAGGAGTAGAATATACCATATATAAACAAATAAATACTACAGTCAGTTTATATTCGAAAGATTCTGAAGAAAAATAAAATCGTTTAGAAATTTTAATTTTAGTTGTTTCTTACTTAGTGTGTCTTTGTTTTAATTGTATTCCAAAAATCTATGATGAATAAGCCCCAGTGGCGTGTAAAATTCCGATAATTAAACGATGTCTTAGTATTAGTTGTATGAAACCATCGTATTAAAATTTTGACTTAATATCTTAGCCGACATAACAGTATATTACATTACATTATATGACAATATATTACCTGCATTATATGGCAACAAATCTGTCCTTGCCCGATTTGAAAACCAAAAACATTTTTTTAAAGTTGTGTATATATTTTAATGATTGCAGAAAACAATTGCTTTTGAAGGAACAGTCATTTAATATTTTCAAGAAAAAAATATTGAATGGAGAAAAAGAATATTTTACATATATTTTCATGTCATATGGTTACATTCTCTAGGGTAGAGCCAAGATGCTTCCCTTTTATGCTAGGTTTGTAAGACCTCTCTCTCTCTCTATCTCTCTCTCTCTCTTATTATGATGCTTTATTCTATAACCCTGAGTGTTAAATTTATCAATGAACATTTAAAATCACCATGCAAAACTAACCTTTACACCATAGAAAAATCAGGCACCGCTTACTTTACACGATAGAAAAAATGGGCCGAAACAACTCGAATTATGTGGCCAATTTTTCACAATTTGGGCACTATCAAGATAATCACAGCTCTCAAAAACTGAAATTATAAATAATTCACAGTGATTGGAAGTGAACTTCAATATACATGCCTAATTTGTCAATTGTGGTATTATCACACATTTGTAATTCTGGCTTTCGAATATTTTATAGAAACCTACCTACTGGGCCAATTTACGAGGCATAAATTTTTAACAACGCAGAAACAATTTCTTAGTATCGTTTCCGTAATTTACGATTCACCGGACGTTATGCCAAAAATTCATGACGTGATGACTTCCTTTTTGTGTTTTCTGAAAAAATGTCTCGTGTGGAGTTTAAACGTGGTTTATGTGTATCTTTTTTTCCCTTATATGATACTATTATTAGGAGTTACAATTAACCTAATAATCGAGAATTTTATTGTTTTCTTTCATTCTCTGAGTTCTGGGGTGATATCTTCTGAGTATCATTTTATCCCCGAAACGCAACTTCTATATTCTTAGGTCACCGTATATCGAACACAAAAAATCAGCAATCGATTGCTTTTTAAAATGAAATGTGAAGGTGAAAACAATAATAGCTAAAGTGTATCCGTTTTGCGCTGGCAGTCCTGTCTTGGAGGTAGCTGAGATAATTTGCGAGGTGCTAGGAACTAGTAATCGACCAGAGCGTTTAAGAGAGATGTTTTTTCACGATTAGTTTTCAATTCCGTCGTTTTTACTTTCACCAATTTCCGAACCAGCACAAACTGTCAATTATGTGGTTAATTTGACGGCTCTCGGAACATAAGTTCTATTGTCCATCAATTATTATTTTGTCAGCCTCATTTTGGGTCTTTATCACCAATCCAACGCTTTTCCCCCCAGATTTTTTGATTCATGTGATTTCCCATTTAGAAGATACTCGACCATGTTTGCAAACAGTTTTAAAATATTTGGTATTCTTCCACATTAAATATCCGAGGTTTTTCAATAACTGCAAAATCTTTTCAAGCAAATACATTTCAGTGACATCCTATTGCAAATCGTTTGTAAGTAAATATAACCATTGACACCAACACTTGAAAATCGTTATAGAGGTGAGAATTATAACTGGTGTGCTGAAACATTCATTCAGTCATGACTGAAATTTTATGAAAAGCAAATATGTAATGATTACTTGTTCTTTATGGCTAATTTTGAATCCTTCGGATTGGTGATATTTATGTCTTACTGAGCTACAAACAATGTCTGACATGAAGAAATAATCCCTCCCTGCTTTAGTGCCTGGAGGGATTCTTATTTGACATTGGATTTTATTAACAAATGAACATCACCAAGTCTTCAAAGAGTGAATGTGCCTTTTTGTTCAGATGGTGAAAGAAAAATCAAGAAATTTGCGAGGTGTGAAAATAATTGTGTTCACATCGTCTTCAATTATCAAGTTTTTTCAGTCTCGTACTGGAGGCGCCATAGTCCACAAGTTCTAATGTAGAAAAGGTCGGGCGAGGCGGCTTCTAGTAGTTACTTATTGTTGCACCCAAGCGCGTGGTTAATCCACTAATTTGCACAAAACACGTCACGTTCCACCAAGAAATCGATCCAAATCCAATAGATATTTTTTTGTAACTCCATGTGAGGAGATTGAAAATATTCGATTTTTTTTCCCTTAATTTTGTTAACATTTTAATTATCTTGATGGCATGCGAATGGGAAAATGTTTACACCAATTAAGAAGAGATTTCTCCTGGCCGCCAATGTAGTTAGTGATGAAGAAGTCTTTTTCTGTTTATTATTTTGTCTGACAATCTGATTCTATAACAAGTTGGGAAGCCACAGAACCATATTGCTGTGTATTGGCAGACAGAGATAAGATTGAACTTTATAAATAAACAACGACTTCCAAACTGATTGTGCACATTTTCAGATTTTTTTCACCTTCATGATAAGTTGAAGTCCATAATATATTTTCTTGTACCTCCACAAAGACATATAACCACTAAAAGTTTCCATTAAAAAAAGCTTAAGTTAGTCTTCAAAGTTTATAAGATGTTCTCTAGCCTCTTATCTTTTCCTAAATACAATTATTATTTTAACGCATCCATTGAGGAGTTTATCTTTTGTGCAAGTTTTGTTGGATGGGAATCGACAGGAATGGGAATGTCTGTCCACACTTTTATCCATTCTGCGTTAGATGATTGGCCTTTTCTCAACTATACAGAACACAACATGACAACTCTGTCAGTATCCATTATTCATCATGAAAAATAAGAAATATTGACATATGTTAGTCCTATTTCAGGCTTCATTGCGCGGGAATCCACCACACGAATCTATGATATTAAAGGTACTTTAATCCTGGCACCTGCAACAGCGCAAAGCATGCGGCGTCCTTCAAAAATGCACCAATAAACTTTGGCGCCAATATTTTAAATTTTTTATAATTCGTTGAATGCGCATGCGTTAGTATAAAAAAAATATATGCGCACACAGCTTTTTCATAGCACACACTAGTAAACTGTTGCACACATATATACTTTTTCTCAGGGCACATTTCTCTATTTTTTTTTTAGACATTCTTCCTTAAATTATATAAAAAGGGTAGAAAATTATTGATGTTTTGTTTATGGTATTATATATTACTGTATTATTTAAATCAGCGTGCTAAATGCAATTCCAGGATTTTTTGCCAATGAAACGGTGTCCTTATGAATCTAATGGGATCCTGTGAAACAAAATCGTATGTACGTTTTAAAACAATGTACATTTATTATGTACATATTGTACACGTGTACAATGTACCTCATTGCTCTTTCGCCTACGCTTGAATATCCTTTCATTCAAAATTCAAATGAATGTTTCTTGTGCTTTACAAAGTGTGGTCATTAAATGCCAAATTACACCATGTCCCTTGACAAAGAATAAAGCCATGTTGCTTTTGCTGTTTGTAATTTGTGGTGACTATTGAGAAACAAAGTCTAATGATGTCAGAATTGTCGCTTTGTTTGCGTGCAGCCTTTTCCTCTATATACTGCAACTGTGTCTGAGGCAGAAATCGGTAAAACGGACAATCCTTTGTCAAAAACTTTGACAAGGAAAGAAACCTTTAAGTAAATATAAATTAGAAATAAAAAGAAATTGTCCTTAGGTTTTTTCTAAAACTCAAGGCTATAGTATTGTGATTTATGTTTGCTTCTTAACTTTAAACAGTTTGTTAACTATTAATTGTTTAAGAGAAAACTGTTATCTTTAATACCCTTTCAAGTTACATCTCCTGACTGCAAAAATGTCTTAAGTACGAATTGCATGCTTAAAGTTCGTAAATAATTATATAATTTGATATCCGACTTCTGCAAGTATTCCGCCGTTTTCTATACAAAGCCATTGATTTTCTAGAGCTTGCTTTGATACCTATACTAAGCTTCCTTTATGACTCACGACGTATAACACAATATAACACAATATAAGAAAAAGAAACAAAAGGCCGCACGCATTCTATACAATGTAGTTATTAGGAAATGACCTCGCAGAAAAATGGACGTGCACCATTCTTTCTACTTACTGTCTTTTCTAATGTTTTATTCACGAAATCCTGGATGACATTTTCTCTTATATTTGACCATAAACTGACTAATGTACCCCACAGACCGTTTCTTTAAGATGATTCTTGTAGTTTTGACATTAATTTGGTTCTGGCGTGCCTTCACACGATGCCTCTAATTTGTCTGATTTAGAATTGTTATTTAAGACCGATTGACAACCTCGGCTAAGAATTAAGCAACGTAAATCATATTTGTTCTTTTTGTTTATGTCTGTATAATCTAACAGACGAAAATTTACTTAGCGTGCAAATGTCTTGCTCAACATTTGCAGATTTTCCTGAGAAATTAGATCCAAGTTGGTTCTAAAAGCAGGAAAATCATAATGTCTGAGGATTATTATTTGTAACTAAGACACTTCCTAATTTTAAATTAGGCAGTGGAGATTTTACATCTCCCCAACTGGAATTTTAAAAAAAATGAATCCTTTTGAAAAAATTAGATTTTAGATTTAGATAATTTTAATTAAAATTAAATTTTAAAAAATCAAAAAAAAAAAAAAAAAAAAAAAAAAAAAAAAAATTAAAAAATAATAATTATACATATAATTTGATGTTTTAAAGAACATGATTACAGAAACTTTAACACTGAATAAGGTAAAATATTATCAGGAATCATGCCGCATTTCTGTTTACTATTTCTGTTTACTATAGATTTTCTAAAATCAGAAATGGTTGAATTATACGTCAGTATACAAGAATATATTAAGAGGTATCTCTGTTAACCTGCATTGCAGCTGAGCTCTATGGCAGAGATCAATGATCATGGTATAATTATCAGAAACGTAGACAAATGTCTGAATTACAAGGAGTAAAAATGTAATTGTCTCAAAAACAAATTAGTAATATGTTCAAAAAGAATAATGTCTCTAGTTACTATGGTACCATGATGAAGTGTATTGCACTTTTATATATTCTACCTGTTTTTAATTTAAATTTAAAGAAATTTCTTTATTTTTCTTTTTTATGAAAATGTAATGTAGCTGAGATAATATCATAATCAACATCACCAGTGTCATTTTTTATCTTCAAAATACAATTCGTTTTTCCTACTGTACAAATTTTGTATTTATTTACTGCCACCCAACAAGTTCTCAAAATTTACATTACAGTCGTCATGCAGGTATGTTACATAAATATAATAACAATATACTTCTGTTGATATAAGAATAAGAAAAAAAAACTTCATAAGAATATACATGTTTATTCACTGGATAAGTTATCAGTCACTAAAATACAGATTAATGATGGGTTGTTGTTGTTTTTTTTTTATATATATAATACTAATGATTGAAAATGAACAATTAAATATATCCACTGTATGTATGGTTTTGGTAAAGATTTAGATTTCAGAGTAGTAATCATTTTTATTCTTTTGACGTGAATCACAGGTTTTGTATCTTAATCTCCAGTTCATTTGAATGAATCAGTATGTTAATGATTCTACAAGATATCCACAAGATAATCACAGATGGCGCTTAACATAAAGCCGGATAATCCCATACTTGTTCATTCTGCATTAACAATTTGTTTTGAATAAGAGCCATTTCCGTGAAGTGAATGTTTAAGTCTGTCGGTTGATATTCCCCTGCTAAAGAATCTCCATTGATATGGAATAAATTTCTCAAGTTTAAATTCAAAGGAATTCTCGTGAGAATCAGAAAACCTAATGACTATTTGACTTTTTATTCAGAAGACGCTGTGACATGACACAGAAAGTGTTAGCAATATTCAATACGGCACCGATGACTTTTTCTCAATCTCCATTACAAATAGGATGAATCTTAAAATCGGAGCATTTTGGTTTCAGTGAAGATGATACGTGTTGCGTCTATTGTGGTTCATGAATTTTATTTTTCAAGAGATTTGGTAAAATGAAAATTATGAATGTCGTGTTGTTAAAAACACACCAACTTAATTACTTTCATGTGACTGGATTCCCTGAGTGATGTCATCAAGTGATCCCAGCCAATCCTAGTCGTCATAAAAGATGCGAACTTTTAAAAACAAAAATCTTAATGTTAGCAATTTAATCCTAAAAGAGAAACAATTTTTAAAACATTTGAGCGATTAACTTTTCTCCTTAGAAATAGATTAGGGTAAAACAAAGTATTTTGAATTTCAAAAGAAAAAAAAAACAACTGATTAGAATGTAGTAATAAAATACATCATTGGATCCCAAATGGTATTTTTATGGCTTGACATTTAGTCCACTTGAACCTTGTTCTATCTTTTGATGTAATTCTTCATCACTAGGTCTTCATAACCAGTTTATCTTGAAGCGCAGCCATCACTCGCCATTATGTCTTTCCCATCTGACATCTGCCTCTCTGTGACGCTTGCGGGCGTCTTTAAAGCGTTTGATTCCCTGATGGTCGATAACAAGTTATGGAACAACCATAAATGATCAGAGTTGTGTTGTCTGGATATTATCAACAATCCACGCGAGTATCTTTGGACTTTCCACTAGTTCTGTGTCAGTTTTATTGCATTAAGAACGATCAAGGTTCTCCAGTAAAAACACCTTTTTAGCGATCTTTGGAATTGTTCGCTTTTGACCGTATAATTTGTCCCGGAAATATTATCCAAAATTGTGTTTGTGTTTTACTTCTAGATAAGGGAAATTAATGAAATAAATATACTCATTGGAATAGAAACATTCTTAAAAGCAATAAAATTTAGTTCTGAAAGCATGCTTTACATCATTCCAAGTTATCAAAGAGTATCCTCATTTTCATTCCCTACGTTGAAAAGATCAACTCTATATTTGTGGTAAATGGAACTTCGGGGGGGGGGGTTACCCTTTTTATTCTCTTTTGAACAAACATACTACTATTTGTAAAAAAAAAAAGATTGCTAAACAACACTGTCCTTGCCTTAATCGACAATTTAATTCAATTTATTCCGTTCTCAGTTTCCTTAAGGAAGCTGGGGGGTCAACGAATTAACCATCAGATATAACTTAGTTTTTTTAGATCTGATATCTTAAGCTGTCAACTATCATTTGGCAAACAAAAATTTCATACATTTTAGTTTTAAAATTTGATCCTTTTTATATATCTTTATATGGAGCTCTTCTTCTAAAGGAGATCAATATAGTCTGAAAATGGCCACAACCACCCAGCCCTCTTAAGTGTCGTATCAATGATAGCAACTTCATGTATATACCTGGGTATACAATGATCCCTGCTTGAAAGATGTTTAAATTAAAAACCAAAATTTCGGTGTGTAAATTTTTCTCACTGTCATTTTAAGACAATCAAGTCCACTTAAACGACAGTTATGACTATGTCTGGTTGATTGTGAATGAACATTATACATAATAGAACTTTTTGGTTTTTTTAAAATCTTTTGGTCCCTTAAATCTTTTTGGGAAGATATATCTGGAACATTCATTTAAAACTTTGAAGCAGGTAAATAACACGATTGTAACACCTAAATCTTCGAAGAATTTCAAGTGTTGAATAAAATATGGTTTAAGATTTTGGAAATAAAATGTTTTTGATTTGTTGTTTACTAGATATAATGGCAGTAGAACCTAGCTTTGATGTGCCTATCGTCAACATAACCGTGGTTGCTGGTAAAACGGCTGTTCTTCCCTGTTCCATTGAGTCGTTAGGAGAATTCAAGGTGGGTTACATTACTTCATAAGGGGCTAGATTATTCATCTGTTTAAAGGATTTTTTGACGACTAAATATGTTGTAACATTTTTTTTTAACTCTGTACTTTAATACATATTCTTTTGGCTTAATTTTTTTTTCATTTTTTTTAAAAATGATTTGGGCTGATAAGTCTAATTCTGAGAAAAGATCACATAGAAATAAAAAGTGATTTTTTTCAGACAATCAACTATTTTGATGAACAGATAACTGGTCGTCTTGAAAAGTTCATATAACTTTTACAGGGACAAACAATAATTTATTTCAAAATGTAAACATTTACAATCTAAAGTGAAGAAAGATGGATTGACGTTACGAATAAAACATTAAACATACGAGTACTTTTAATTCAAGAGTGGGTTGACGTTGGTTTGACGTTGGTTTTGCACAATTTTCTGTCAAGCTATTGCTTTCTCTATTGTAGAATCACCTTGAGGAGAAGAATGTTGCAGGAATTCATTTACAATATAGCATTTCATTACATAAATTGACTAAAAGTGGAAGTAATACATCAATTAATGAAATAGTTTCCTGGTACAAGCCTTCTTGTGGGAATGCTTCTCATGAAAATGATACTAGTAGTTAAAAAATTACCAAGCTGTGCATGTTAATACATGGCTTCTATTTCAGTTTTCAAACCCATCACGAAATGTCGTTCTTTTCTGCGTGTGAAAACTGACATCGAAAAATTATTTGTCGACAATTTGAAATTTACAATCCTTAAAAGTGAAATTGATACAATATGGAGTCATTATTCTCTAAAATTCTGGATAAAAGCGTCAAGGCAAAATAGCACACAATGGCAAATTCAATGTAATTATGACGGTGTGCTAGACTATCGTTATTCTAAAACAGATTTTTAAAATTGAAAACTGCATTTACATATAATTTGTTGTCTGCACAGCTAAATTTTTGTTAAAAACCTTCTAATGCTTGTAAATTAAATACTTTTGTATATAAACACGCAGTAATGATTCATAGAACTAAAAAGAATTGCTTCATATATTTTCATCCAAACATCATGAAATAAAAATTGTTGGTTCTATTTTGATACTAATAATTGTTCTTTCTATTGCTAAAAATAATATATAAAAGAATATTGTGCCACCAAAGTGTCATTGTTGAGAGTTTGGTTTGAGGGTAAGTATGTAGTAAACCTGTCAACAAAAAAGTAAACGATTAGAAACAAAACGAAGATGTATTAGCTGTAAAGTAAATTGGTTAGCTATCGTAGCTGCAGAACTGTAGGTTATGGTTTTATATTTTAGTCTTTGATCGTCAAAGACTAAAATATAAAACCATAACGCTACAGTTCTGCAATTATTTTTCGTAGCTGCAGAACTGTAGCGTTATGGTTTTTTATTTTGGTTTTTGTTCGTCAAAGATTAAATATAAAACCATAACGCTACAGTTCTGCAGCTACGAAAAATAAGGCAATTTAAGGTGTTCATGTTTTAATTTTTGTTTTTACATCCAGTCAGATAATTGAAACATGAAAGATTAAAATCATTAGCAGGGAAATTTCTACGCTCACATTCACAAGATTTTACTTTGTTCAGTTGAGGATTTGAAGGATGAGGGTCTTTTTGTCTTTTTGCGGAATACTATGTCAAATATTTTGGGAAAAAAGTTTCAATGATAAGTACCTCAAATCCTTATTATATTCCAACTCTTTTGTTTGTGTGAGCTATTGAGGTGGATATTTTCTGTTATGGTATATTATCTCTCTTTTTAAATCCAGAATCCATTCTACAGAACCGTGCATGTTGAAGTATTTATTTCTTTTCTTGAAAAATCTTTGAGAAACCTTTGTATGGTGTCCGGATAGGGATATTTGCAAAAGGTCAACAGCTTCAGAAAAACACGCCGTGGCGCTAACACACAACACGCCGTCATGCGACGGCGTGTTGTGCAAACTTGTGTTAGCGTGACGACGTGTTGTTCAATGATATGTTAGCGCGATGGCGTGTTGTGTGTTAGCGCTAACACACAACACGCCGTCGCGCTATCACAAAGTTGTGTTAGCGAGTTGTGCGACAGAGTGTTGTGTAAAGTGTTAGCGCAACAGCGTGTTGTTTAAAAGCGTGTTAGCGCGACGGCGTGTTGTGTGTAAGTGCAATGGCGTGTTTTGTATAATTGTGGTAGCGTGATGGTGTGTTGTGCGATGACGTGTTTTTCTGAACACGCTGTTGAGCTTTTGCAAATGACCCTATCCGGACACCATACCTTTGTTTACTTTTAATAATTTGTTTCTGTTTAAACTTTTTTCCTCTCTCGTTTGAGCGAATCTCGACGCTACCATCACTTGTGATGCAGTCACAACAAATCGGACGTCATTTCTTAAAAGGGTCGCTATACTCTAATTTCAAAAAGAAAACAACATGGAAAGTAGTTTTCGTAATAAATTATTTGTAATATCGAAATGTAAACGCAACGCGTCGGCCATATTGCCAGATATTAATTCTCACCTGCCGGACATAGAAATATAGCCGGCAGTCACGAGTCGCATTTAAACCAATGTAAGTGTGACATTTCAATCCGATAGAAATTCCACCTTACAGATCTTGCAGTTAGTGGGGAACTCAAAAAAGTATACATTGTGTAATTAGAATACTTAGGTATCTGAGAAACCTGAGCGGAGTAGATAATCATTAGTACCATTTCTTTTGAAGTATAAGAATTTCGAAGTCTCCTCACAACTTGATTATAATAAATCATAATAATTATATATATCATCTCTCCTTTCTAAATCTCTTTGTGCATTCAGTGCTTATAAATACATGAACATAAGGTTTCCATTCAGACAGTTAAAATTTTTCCTCAACCTTTTTTTTCCCACTATTATTTTTTGCAGTTTAGCGAAATTTATTTTTGGTTCCTTTCGCAGTTTACAAAAAATCACGGTCAACTTTCTTCCTTTTACAGTTTACAGGTTTTCAGAATGTACTGTAAAAATTGTCATTTCTACCCACTTCTGAGGATAGTTTTTACGTAGAGTAAACGTATACGTACGTATATCAATCAGGGAGTTAGGAAGATTCTGGTCCCTGAGATCAGACCTAGATATATATTTCCAGAGACAAAGCCTGTGAGAAATATATATATTATCATATCATCAGTTTCAGAAAGAGGTGATATGGATTCAGAAATGTAGTGATCCGGAAAGTCGGATCACACTGTCACGTGACAGTGCGAAATCAACAGTAGAATTGAGTGATACACAGTTGGGTATATAACATTAGGTGTGATCAAGGAAACCAGAATCTATCTTACAAAAAGATATACCTTGTTTTATTATACTGATACAAAAACTTGAATCAAGGTTCCGCTCACTACGTTGCAAATTGACTGTTGAAAGCACATTTTTTGTCTTTCAACTAAGGTTAAGGTTGCAGTCTATCTATGTTGTAAGCTCCACCCACAATGTCTCTGATTGGTGTACATCAAACGTTGATCTTATGCCATGAAAATAAGATCTGCTTTTGGAGACGATAGTTAGACAAGTGAATTTTAGGGATTAAACAAACATTGAATTGCTTTCATAGAGTCAAAAATCAGTAAAGGCACAATAAAGTTCTTTTAAAGATAACTTCTGTGGTGTTGCAGGTGGTTTGGACGGATCAGTATTCCACTCTGCTGACTTTAGATGAAAAACGCATTATAGATGACGAACGCATGGTTTTAGACCGTCCTCACACAAAAGATTGGAATCTTTTACTCCATGACGTCAAATATGAAGATAAAGGGCGCTATACCTGTCAAATTAATACAATGCCAATCAAAACTAAAACCATAGAATTGATTGTTCTAGGTATGTTCTTTTATATACTTTATCTACAAGTCTTTCATTATCGTATGACATCATGTCTATTTTTAGGTGGTATGGACCGATCGGTGGTCCACATTGCTGACATATGGGGATCGTCGAATCATCAACGATGAAAGAATTTCGGTAGAAAGGCCCCGTCTGAGGGACTGGAATTTACTTATTCGTGAAGTACAATATACTGACCAGGGCAATTATGTATGTCAGATCAACACGTTGCCCATTAAAACAAATTCAGTCCTCCTGAACGTGTTGGGTAAGGCTGCGTGTACACTGCCCCCTGACCCATTAGAACTAACAGTGTGTGAATTATTTAACTTCATCTTAAAGCATTGCAATTATAGCTCGGAACTTGTGCAATTTTTCTATTTCATTATCTATGACGTTTAGGGTAATTTCCTAATGCAAACAGCCATAAAGCATTATGGTCGTTGCAGTCTGGAAGGGCAATGTTTCCAATGTGAGACTTATTTTTTAAAAATGCAAACTTAAAATAGGCAAACAGATCATACGATTTATAATTTCATAAATGCTCTTGGGGGAGGGGGTCTGGAGGTCTAAACTAAAAATATGATTTACATCGTGTTCCTACTACTCTCAAAATTATAGAGCACACATTATACTGCATCTTGTACAAGTTAAAAAAATTAAATCATGAAAAAATTGTAGAAAGTTTGGAAATGAGTAATTTACACACTGTCTAGAGGTCCTGCCCCTTCACAAATTATATGTTGTGTCCTGCACACCGATTGGATACCACTGTATCAAGAACCGCCCAACTCACACCCATAGCTTTAACCTCTGACGCAAGTTCTCAGTTCTCTCTTCTCTAAAGCTTGGCGCACAATAACGTCACTGTTACTAACAATAGAGGTAGACTTCACATTAACTCGGATGTCACACAACTAAGTTGTATAGTAAGACTTTTCTTGTAGCTAGTCTTCACCCATATGGAAACTTAACAGGACACTTTGGGTATTTAACACGTACATGGCTTTGCAGTTGCTTTTGCGTGCGCTAATGATATGCTTTATTCTTTCACATTTTTAATCACAGGACACGAAGATCAAATACGTATATATATATATATATATATATATATATATATATATATATATATATATATATATATATATATATATATATATATATATATATATGGCACTTTTTTTATTTGAAATTTGAACCAGAGTCTTATTCCAGTTATTCTGGTTAATGCAATTTTTTTTTTTCATTTCACGGAATAATACATAAGGAACATCTGCAAACTAGTTGAACTCTGCAGTAGTTGAGAGGTTTTCTCGTTTCTTTAATGGACTTGAATCTAATCTTGAAGTTTTTGGTCAAACCATTCACAGTTTTCTGTCAGTTAGACACAAAAACCCACGAAATAAATAAATAAAATGACTCGATGCTTTTTTTTTGTCTGTTCTTGTGTATGTGTTAATTGAATGTTTTGAAATGTACAATGAAGTACAAGAAATATTTTTTATCACTTTATGATGACTATTAGTTTTTAAGATGAGTACTTGTAGTTAAAATAACGATATATCGTAAACACATATTTATCACACTGTATGATTGTTTTTAGATCAACTATTCTCTGTATTGGCAATCTTTGTGTATGATGTACGTCACTATGTGCAAAATATACATATATGTACTTGTATATATTTAGTATTAACTTACAATATGATTTTTGTTTATTAAATATAACATTTACTTGAATTTGGTTCATCATCGTATTGACCTCTTTACAATATTGCAAATGCATACATATGGTTTGAATATTCAGTAAATATTGAAATGATTTTTTTTCCAAAGAAATCATAGAACTTTAATTAACAAATTTTGATCTGACTATTCAGTTCCGCCCGAAATTTTGGACTCTTCAAGTAGTGACATGACGGCAAAGGAAGGTGACACAGTGACCTTGACCTGTAATGTCACTGGTATCCCAAGGCCAACCGTGCAATGGTTTAGGAAGCCACATGCGGACAGTCGAGACCAACATAAAGAAAGTAAGTCTTTAATTTCTCTAGAATAATTTTAGTTTTGAAAAAAAAGTGTGAAGTAATTTGTCTTAGAAGGGGAAATCAACCGCTTCAGTGTTGCACTTGTTGAAATTAGAAGAGTATTTCCCATTTTCGTTTTTCCAAGAATGTTGTATATAGGCTTTGCAACATAGTACCTGTATACGATTTAGAGAGATTTATTCGAAAGTTGAATATAAGCATAAATGTATTTAATTAATCCATTATGTCTTGAATATTTATTTACTTTCTTAACGTTAACTTCCTCTGATTGTCAAGCCTTGGTGCAGATTTTATGTGAAAATATGTTTCTGTGTTTTTTTGAATTCGCACCCTATGTATGACATTACACATATTTTAGGTTTTGTATCGTTAAACTTAATATTTCATGCCTTTTAAGTTGCAAACAAGTTGTTCCCAGGGATCGTTGTGACTTAATTGCACTTAGAAAACTTTACACATTTGTAACTAGGAGTGAAGACGACTACCCACGGTCACTATGGTAACCAGCTGTCAGATGACCACTGCTTATACACAGTCAGTCATCGAGGTACATGTCTATGTCAGATGCGTGCGCATGCATAATCAAGCAGTGTACATACTGTGGACTATTTTTCATAGGGAAAATAAATACGAGACATCTATGAAAAATATTGATATAAACAGTTAACATTTCAATTTCCCCAAAAAATCCACAGCTATGACCATTGCTTGTTGCTTTCCACATCATCAATGTGAAATCACTAACTAGTTAGATCCTAACCCATATTTTATATTAAAAAACATCTGTGGGGATGAAATATAGTTTGTAGATTAATTAGTTTAAATAGTTTAGGCTGTGCAATTACAAATGTACGTATATTAATTCAAGAGCAAAGAGTAATTCTCTTACTAACATTGGGCATTCATGTCCTCTTACATATTATCACAAATATCTCTATGGTTTATTTAGAAAACAATTTAATTTAATAAATATATATTTTTTAAAATCACTTTTCTAAACTATGCACTTCTTTTAATGAACAAATTTTGGTATGGATTTTAACTTGAATAACATATGTTTTTGCACCATTTGCGAATTAACACATATCAAATCACCAAACATGTTTTTTTTTTTTTTTTTTTTGCTTAACAGATAATAACAAAATACTTGAAAATCACTTTTTAGCGATCTCTCTTTCTGTAAGATTTTGGAAAATGATTTTATCATCTGACAATCATTAAAAAAATTAAGAGCATGGGAATTCTATGAAACAACTTCCATATTTAATGACAGAGTTGAAACTTTATTGTGTGTAGGTTACCTACTGCATAGGGTTCGATCATAAGATTTTTTGTCATATACTGGTTTCAATTGTTACTAATACTATTTTTCAACTAAAAATATTTAATATTGGGGATTCCGTTTTTGGTAGCTGCAGATCTGTAGCTCGCTATTCTGAAAAAAAAAAAATTGGGATTGACGACAAGAGAGCTATAGTGCCACCCATTGAAAAAAGTATATATAGTATATATTTTATTATTTATTTACTATTTCCACAACAAAACTGTATGGACAAGTCATGCCACCCAAATTGGCTAAATAAATAGGCAAAATTTTCGATGGTCTCAATTTCAGGCCCGGGAGGGCTATTAAAAACGCTTTGGGGGAATGTTATGGTGTGGAAGTAGTCAAAGAGTATGTTATGAACACACGGTTACTAATATTTTGAGATAGCAGTTTCGATATACAGCGAAATAGATCGAGAAACAGTGCACTTTTTAAAACATGTACACACTTTTTTCAATGGGTGGCACTGTAGTTTTTTTTGGTCGTCCATCCCCTTTTCTTCTCAGACCAGCGAACTACAGATCTGCAGCTAATTTTTGGACAACTTTGGATATTAATACTCCAGTGATATTTTTGTTCAAAGAAGCTTTTTTTTTTAAATTTAAATATATACTGTAACTTTTACCCCAGTTAAGCTCATGAAATAATTCATTCAAGAAACAAAAACGTCAAATCAAAATTTGTAAAATTTAATCCAAACATAGAAGCACTTTACAGAAAAAAAGTTTTTGTTGTCATGGTTACAGAGAATACATTGACTTGTAGCTAACAAAATATGCTTTAGTGTTCAATAATAATTTCTTCCGTGATAATTTCTTATGTACCAAGATTTAAGTTTGAAGTTATTTTATATAAAGAAAAAACTGATTATTGATATCAGAACTATTCAAGAGCAACTTATCTTGTACAATGGGGTCGAGAAGGAATTTGACTTGTAAAAAAATAAAGTGAAGGGTAGAGTCTAATCAGTGTGACGGATACCCATAATTTTCTGATAATTCATGTAAAAAACCCCATAATTTCCATTCTTATTCCTCGATTTCTATAAGATATGTTGCCATAGTATGAGACACGTGATCTGACGTATTACCATATTTTTGTTACAGTGTTCGAAGTAGAGTTGACTTCCGCTCCGATAGCCACGGTTATCGGACATGATCCGGTGGTAAATAATGGTACACTCTATACTTCCTGTTTTGGAGTGTGGTTTCCGCACGATTTGCTTTTATTTCTGTCTTCCTCTACAGGTCAAAGCCTATGAATATGTCTCGTCTATCTCTTTCTCTCACTTTTCTGCTGTTTGCTTTAGAATAACAGTGTCTAATGGCAATAATAGATTTTTTTCACTATAATTTTCACTAAATAGAATATATCAAAAGTAACATCATATAAAACCTTAATTAATATACCAGTTTCAGATGCAAGTGCTAACTGTGTTTTTCTGTTAACAAGCCGTAGCAGAATACTTCTACAAACAAATAGATCTTCATTAACCATGTATAAATACGAAAAGTAATCTTGTCGACTTAACAATTTTCATAAAGAACATTTACTATATTCATTAAACAATAAATGTCAATGTATATTTATTTTTTGTGGGTTGCATTTTCCTCCTTTTAACGTGGCTTGCATTCCTGTGTTTTGTATTTGTATAGTGAAAGTTTCTTTCAAAGTTATTTGTAAGAAACGAAAATGGGAAAAGTAACGTACATACACCATCACGTTATCACTTTATTGTCTGTGTGCTACCAAAAAAAAGTATATAGCAATCGCCAAATCTTACTGCATTATAATTATAAACAATTGTCGTTTTCAATTCATGCATTTTATACTATCATAATCAGCTTTTTGCTTCCATAATCATGTGTAACAATGTATTCTTAAGATGTTTATAAGCAACTTTTTTTTATGAAGATGCTTTATTAAATTTTACCATTGGTATGTACTATATTTCAAAAATAAAAAGTCTCGAAGCTTACGTTTACTGGAATGGAAAAGACGAGAGTTCGATCATAAACTGAAAGATTTTTTTTTACATTCATTCATCATCGCCACTTCAATTATATCAATTCATCTTGAAAATATTCACTATTCAATATTACTAAGAACAATATTTCAAATAGAGTTGTACTTTAAAATAATGTCATTTCCTTCAGGGGTGGGGATTAACGGGGAGATCCTGATTATTCACAATGTATCCAGGTATTGTGATGGAATCTATGAGTGTGTGGCATTCAATGACGTCCCTCCAGCCGTGAACCGCGTTATGAGCGTTATGGTGGAATGTGAGTACAAGTTATGTGTGTTTTTTAGGGCTGTATGATACAATTTAGTGTAGATGGGAGTAAAAGATATTTAAAAACTAGAGTGTTCCAAGGAACATATGTGTCGCCTGCCTTGTCATTAAAGATGTAAATAAATCTAAGAGTGGTCTGCTTTTTATTTACTATTAGCATGATAGTTTATGCATTTGCCTGCAAAGAAAAAATGGCATCCATGGATTGTATAAGACCTCGATAGAATCTGACAATCAAAGAAAATATGGGTCCCTAACCTTCAAATGAATAATTAAATTGAAATTATTGAAATGACTATTAGTATTTATCATTTATTAATGCGTGTTTCCAACAATCCTCCAAAAGAGATTTCAGCCTTTCTTTACTGCAATTGTCAGTCTACACGATCCACTGTGGAATACTGATCCCGATGTATTTTCATATTATTTAAATATTAGTTTGTGTGGTAACTGAATATCATACAGTTTCAAAGTACAAAAGCCTGATCTCAGCAACATGTATATATGCTAATTATCAAAATCCTGACTCTTAAAAATCAAAAGTCATCAGTAAAATTAAACTTCCCGGGGTATTTTTTGCAAAGTAGGTCAAAGGTGAGGGTCAAGTGGATTGTAATGCTGGTATTTCTGATAATAGTTTTTGACAAATAGTGCAGTGCACATGGTTAATAGCTTAGACTTACCTCTTAAATGTAAAAAAATACCCTGTATATAACGACACTATGATATACCTCGTACAGTTGTCGAGATATAAGGTGTGACAGACTGACAGACAGACAGACGCTGGGTAAAGTGACCCCTAAGTGCCGCTCTGCTCTGCAGGCGACACAGATATATCATACACCGTTTAGTGGGAATAAATACCAATTTGTACGAACATTTTTAGCGTATAACTATATTAAAATTTGAATATATTTTTAATATCTATTTTTAAGCGTTAATAGATCTTAAGGTCAAGATCTAGTGAATGAAAGGTGCCCACAGATTTCTCAAATTTGAGATACACTTTCTTTTAATGATTCTTTACGAATATAGCTTGGTAGAATAAGGTGTATCCGGACATAGTTTTGGGGTAAACTCATCGAAAGCATATTATAAACTGCCCATTTTCAATGAAAAATGAAGAAAGTCTGGTATAAATATGGGAGTTTTTTCCATCTCAGACAAAGGAAATGTATCAATATTGCCTACAGTCTCTCAGAAAACGGTTTTTCATATCTTCTTGATCTCTACTTTGAAATGATATTAAACGGAATAAGGGTATCGGTGTTACATTTGGCATGATTTCAAATTTAATTCCATGAAAGTGCTTTATTTTCTACATAATTCTATTGAAGCCGTAAAGTACGGGAAAAATTTAGTTTAAATCAATTATGACGTCATAATGAATCTAGCACCAAGAAGAAAGTCTAATTTAGCTCATTTACTTGATCTTGACCTTAAGATCTTTACAGAATTAGAGTGCAACATGTATATTTGAGTTGTGGTTTTAAGAAATCGTTTAATGCATGGGATTTGTGACTGTATCAAATGTTTGAGTCAGTAAATATTTTCAATATAAGCTTTAAAAGTTGGCGAGTAAGTCTTTGGAGACTATATTCCTTGGATAACTGATTTTGTATCTCTTTCTAATATACCAAAATATATAAAATTATTGTCATCTTTTTGTTTCGTTTTGTTTTGTTTAGATCCTTTTTAAAATTGCCTTTAATGGTATAAACACCAAAAATTGTTACATCAGCAATTCAAGTTATTTCCAATAGGATTATAAAAGAAACACTATCCTCTGGTATCTTACCCAAATGCCTGGTAAGATACCTCATTTTTTGTGAGGAAACTTGTTAAAATAGCAATGATTCTTGGGATAAATTACATTTTAATGAGGAACGTTCGTCTGACCTTAAAGACTTCAGCATTTATAGAAGCCATTAACAAGGGATATTGTTTTAAGTTCCACCAGAAGTATGGCTGGACAACAGAAGACTGGGACAGTCCATTGGAAAGGAGACCATTTTAGAGTGCAAAGTCACCGCCTTCCCACAAGCAGTGTCAGCATGGCGCTTTCAAAATAACTTTCTCTCCAACTCGCACAAACACCGCATCGACATTTATCAAGATAAAGGCCATACTATCATTCTTAGTCTGCGAATCATAAACATTACAAAGGAAGATTTCGGGCAGTACTCCTGTTATGCTAGTAATGCTTTTGGTGAGGACGAGGAGGCAATGACCTTATATGGTAATAAATAATTCATTAACGAAGTATCCACCTCTTTTAAGACTCTCATCTGCATCAATTATTTAAATTCATGTGCTATTTTTATGAATTCCATGTGCTATTTTTATGAATTCCAGTATAATTCACAGAAGTGTCCTTTACTTCCTATTCTATTTTTTTCTTTTCACTATGCAATATAATTTTAGCAAAATTGTTTTTGAAGAAGTTTAAACGACGTGGTGCGTATAATTATGCATATGTAGCAAACATTGCAGGATCGGTGTATGTAAGAATAACCATGATCTTCTGTCTGTCCGTCCGTCAGTTCCACTTTGCATCTGAGTTTTAACTTTTTAATAGGCATTTTTAACAGGCACAAAATTTATGACTAGAGGGTGCATATAAACTTGATGCGAAGTCATTCGACAAGATCAAGGCCAAAGAGTTCCAAAGCTTGAAATTTATACGTACACCATAAGTTTGCTATGAGAAATAAGTAACTTAACACAAAGACTGCTTAAGACTTGCGGGTGTGTCTTACTCCTGGTTAATTGGTCAAAGGTAATGCTAAAAGATGTGTTAGTGTAGAGTATCTTCCGGGGTAAAAACCAGAGTAAATGCTCAAACGAAGTAAAAAGGAAGGTTGCTTATGACGGAGGGTATATAGCGTTCATATTCTGAGAAGGTCATTTCACAAGGTCACAGGATTTGAAAAGGAAAGATCTGTTTAACAGCTGTGATATACAAAGATTTCAGAAAATCGTACCTAAGGAAGTGGTTGCTTTTGTCTGGAGGAGTTGTCACGATCTTATGTCTGATTACGCTTGGAGACAGTTAAGGCTGCATGAAATGGCAATGTAAAATCTTTCAGTTTTAAATGCATATTTTTCAAATCCACTTGTTTTGAATGTGCTCAGTATGAATGTTTCTCCAGTAATACAGTTCTAGATTCAGTGTCATTCTAAAACTGATTTATATGAAGATTATCTAAGTTACATGTGTATTTAGTTAATCATTGTCATTCTTGCAGCATTGCAATTCACTGAACGTTGCGTAAATTTTAAAAATTATTCTTTTAAATTATTTAAAAATCTTACTCACAACAAAATGTATGAAATAGAAAATTGATTTTACAGAGTTCATTCCTGCCACCAAAGCAAAACCAGTGACCACAACACAAATCCCCTTATTTACGACAACAACATTAAGCAAGAGAAACAGGATAGCAAAGCCCTCAGAATACGACGACTTCATCCCATACAATCCAAACGGAAACGGACATAACCCGGGTAATGATACATTAAACGACGGACAACAAGTTGGAATTAAGTGTACCGGCGCCATTGTTAGAATTTGTACGTGAAATAAGCATGTTTTAGAGGGGTTTGGCGCATGTCTGATTTTTCAATTCCTTCCAGAAACAATTTTCTGATCTATCACTGTATCTGAAACTCATGGGAACTTTCATCCTTTTTTCCTTACTAATTATAATATATGAAACGTTGAGTAAAAATTTCGATGACTTTGGATTGTTTTCAAGATAACACATGTATTGGATTTTTGTAAATGTTCAACGACTGGAACCTTAATATTCTACAGCTCTTTGATAATAGACTTTTAGGAAAAAATATTTTTCTCCATAGAATATATAATTATTTTAAAGTTATCTATATGAAAACAAGATTTACACAGAAAAATTTACACTTCAAGAAATGAACCACATGAGTTTACGTGTTTGATAAGGGAGTGTTGGTTCGAGAGAGAGATGATCCTTCTTAAGGTCAGTATGTGATCATTAATCTCCATGTCCACTCATACCCGATAAGTTTAGGTTCGAAACTTGGGATAAATGCAGTGAATACTTTGAAGGAGGTAGGTTATTACTGCTTCTTTACCAGAAATAAGAGCATCTGGTACATTTGTATCTACCTGTATTTTTGCTGATGCCCTAAGCTAGACAGGATTGGGACAGTTACTGCAATATATAATAAAATATAGGTCACGATGCCTATATCTCTCAGTGCATGTGTGAACGAGAAACAAAGTCTGCTTAAGGTTCAACATCCCTCTGCTCACTCATAAAAAATCTTTTCTTAATGCTTATGATTTCCCAAAAGTAATACCATGTAATTTATAATTAAAATGCAAACATTCTCAGCATACTTTGCGGGGCAAAATTTGACAGAAATGGCCTTTAAATGTGACAATTTCGTAAAAGAATAATAGTAATTTATATCAGTTAGAGTTATCTCTCTTATCAGAGTATCGATGAACCTTAAACAATCTCTTGTGGTAAGATATTGGTCGATTTTGTCGTTAATACATACATGTATGATTATAGGAGTACTATTGCATGTATCCAATCGAGGGAAGAGAAGAATGTTCACAATATCAAAATGTAGCATTTTGTTAAACACCCCGAGCAAATATTTGGAAAAATTGCTTTTTTTTCAAGAAAACGGTGAATCATACTGTTGCTTAAGGTGTTTAACAGCGAGATATTTGCGAGTTTTTTTCCCCGACACATACAGTATCATACATATATACAAGGAACAAAGATGATGTCCCAAAAAGATTATCACTGTTTGAAAGTATCTGGGTATTTTTTCCCGTCGTTTTTGGCTGACATTGTTCATGTGAACCCTACCATAGCTCACACAGTGTAGTAATTTATCAAATTACTGTGATACAACTCTAATAAAAAAAGTGCAAAAAGTGTGGATAACAATTTAAGGCGCAATAAATTCAATTTACAGTTTATAATACAAAAATAAAAACTAGACTGTTTTGTGCGTTTTGTTATCAACATGATAGAGTGTTGATAAGGTCGAACTTATGATACAATATTATATATCAAATAACAGAATCATATAAATTATTTTAAAGTCTGAATAGATTTTAAGGGAAAATATGACGTCATAAAACGTGGCGACAATTTCAATGATTTTGCATAGACTGTATTAGATTTTTCCGTAAAATTTATACATTTATTTATAGATATCATTATATTTTTGGTTTTCAGGTGCACCATACTCCATGAGCAAAAGCAGCGCTGGGCAAACACATTTATATCACAACGGAAATTGGATCATTTTCATGATTGTTTCTTTAAATTTTGTTATTGACATTTTCAGTTTTGTGAAATTATGAGAATAAAACCCAGTTTGCATTTTAGCCTAGCAGTATTATTTCAATTATTTATGTCGAGTTTTTTACTCAGTCAATTTTGTACAGTATTTAGAAAGTTATTTTAGAAGAGTTGTAAGATGGATGCATGATTACTCTCTTTGTTAATTGAAAAATAACTGTTGAATGATACATTTGCTTTTCACGTCATGTAATTTTAATAAGATGGTATTGTTAGCTTGTTCTTATTAGCGGATTTGGAAGTCTTATCTATTATTCATGATTCCATATGTTAACAGAAAACATTTCAATTTTTGTCTGCATTTTTATCTCCAGGCCATGTGTTCCATTAAGGTCTTGACCCCTGTTTTCTTTTTTAATACCAATACTTTTTAAAAACATTTCGTTTATGATCATTCTGTGTAAATGTGCGAGAATTCGTTTTTCTTACTTTGATATTTGCACTTTTATTCATATTTTGTTTAATTAGAAATGCATGTATTTCCCAGGGTATTTAGTGATTTTGTAACAACTAAGATTTCCTTCACAAGAAAGAGCCGAGTAATCTAGGCTTGCGTTTATGATATTATTATTATGCTTTATTTTCATTTCTGCAATTATTTATATGAAGCACAGTTTATAGCGACTGTGTGATTTTATGTTAACTTTTTCTATACTTAAAATTCAGCTTTCAAGAAAGGTATTGAGAAAAGAAGGATGATTGAATGTAACAATTTTACCATATACGTCTACAGGACAGGAGTAAAAAATGCATTTAAACTGAGCAAAGATTTGCTGAATTCTTTTTAAAGGAAAAGTTGAAATAGTTATGTTTTAATAACCATGGAAAGTCAATCGATGAGTTACAAAATGTAATCTTTTTAAAAGTTTAAACCCTTCATACAGAATTTCTTTTTTTCCCTTACATTTCTGTACATATCTTTTGTCAGTTTTTATTAAGTTTTTAGAAGATTTATTCTTGTTCAGATGACACGTCATTTCAAATTATTGTTTCTCACCTGAATAAAAGTTAATTACATTCTGATGACCTTGAAGAATGAACTTGTAAAAGATGACAAATTTTTACACCATCCCTTGCTTGTATTTTCACTTTTTAGTACATAACAGCTTACAATCGAATATTATTTATAATTGTTCAGAAATGATTTTAATTTCTGATGACAATAAACTTATTTTTGTAATGTTTTCGTTCCGTTCTTTTTTCGATGGATCAGCGGTCATTTGATTGTAGCCGGAAGTAGCGCTTCTCTGATTCATTAAAATACTCGTAATAAAATTACCTCAACTGTGGCGATCTACCCAGATAAAGTTTTAGATAAAAATATAATTCAATTACAAGAAGAATAAATTAATAACAAGTATCTCAATGAATGAATGAATAGTTTATGAAAAAAAAGCAGGAATGTGGGGGACCTACAAAAGATGTGAGACTTATGAAAAAAAAAATAACAGTATCTATGTCCCCACGGGTCTTCTTTACTTTTGACAACGTTGGTATACAGTGTTCTAAACAGAAACGCTGAAGAAAAAAAGAAAGAGATAGCCATTAGGCTGTGTTCGCCAAACCCAAGTGAGTAAAACATGCCAGCAAGGCCTTAAATACATGCTGAGATATCCCAAAAATAAAAGAAATGTCAAAGGTACTCAGGCTAACACAAAAAAAAAACGTACTGCCGACATAGATGCCATTTTCTGTTTAAAACGCAAAACCCTTGGAATATCAACAGATGGACCAACTTACACTATACAAAGAATTACTTACGGTTAAATTCAATTGACCTTAAAATTACATTGTACAGTGATTTATTATCACAGTAAAATACAAATTAATAGAGCCCTGCCAAGCACCAGAACACTTGACCAAGTGGCCCGGAATTTTACAAATCTGGTGAAAATACCCTTGTTTATTACATCTTTGTGCTTTACCTTCCAGATGCCCAGGAACAGAGCAGAAGATTTTGAAAGAAATAATGCATTTCACTATACATTCAGCACAGCCCAACCTTAACACCAGAATCCCTGACTCAGGGGTCATGGAATTCACAATTTTGGAAGAGGCACCCTTGCTCATCATAACAATGCACTTGGTTTGTTTGCTTGATACCCATGAGCAGAAGAAGATTTTAAAGATATAATGCATTTTCATAATATAATCAAAAGAGCCCTTCCCTTTCACCAAAATCCCAGGAGCTATGAATTCCATAATTTTGAAGAGACATCCTTCTTTATTGTAATCATACTATTAGTTTGTCTGCTAAATACCAAGAAGCAGTGAAAAAGTTATTTAAAGAATTCTTGTATCTGATCTGTAGATTCCTGTCCCATTGCCTAACACCAGATCTCCTGAACCAGGGGCCATGAAATTCACAATTTTGTAAGAGACACCCTTGTTCAATTTAATTATTCACTTAGTTTGTTTGCTTAATACCCAGGAGCAGAGAAGAAGATTTTCAAAAAAATAAAGCAATTTCACTATCTAAACCACAGAGTCCCACCCTAATACCAGAACCCTTGAAATGCACAATTTTGGAAGAGGCACCCTTGCTCATCATAACATTGCACTCAATTTGTGAATTCGCAGAAGATTTTTAAAGAAATGATGCATTTTCATTAAATAATCAGTAGACCCCCCCCCCCCCACACACACACACACACCACAGCCCCTGGCCCTGGGGTCACAAATTTCACAGTTTTGGATGAGGCACCCTTGATCATCATAACCATGTATTTAGTTTTTAAGCTTAATACCCAGGAGCAGAGAAGAAGATTTTCAAAGACACAATGTATTTTCACTATATAATCAATAGAGCCCTGCCCTAACACCAGATCCCCTGACCAAGGGGCTATGGAATTCTCAAATTTGGTAGAGGCACCCTTGCTTATCATAACTATGCACTTAGTTTGTTGCTTAATATTCAGGATCAGAGAAGAAAATTTTCGAAAAAATTTTTACTACATAATTAATAGAGCCCCTCCCCCATCCCCCATCCAGAACCCCTGATCCCGGGGCCACAAATTTCACAATTTAGGAAGAGGCACCCCTGTTCATCATAACCATGCACCTAGTTTATCTGCTAAATACAAAGGGGGCGAGAAGAAAAAAATTAAAGAATTCGTGCATTTTCACTTTATGATCATTAGAGCCCCGCCTTAACTCCAAAAACCCCTGATCCGGGGGTCATGAATTTCACATTTTGGTAGAGGGCTCAATGCTTATTACAATTATGACAACAGTCCAACTATTTGATGTCCAGGAGTAAAGAAGAAGATTTTTAAAGATTGCATTGGTTTTGGTGGTTTTAGCCCCACCCCTCAGGCCCTAAGGGGGTAGGGACCAAAACATTCACTATGTTTGTTCCCCTTTACTCGTAGATGCTATATGCTAGAATTGGTTGAAATTGGTTCCAGAGAAGAAGCTGAAAATGTCCAAATGTTAACCGACGACGCATGACGAACTACGACGGACGAAAACAGTTAGTAACAGGTCACCTGAGTGACTCAGGTGACCTAATAATATTGACATTCAGGTAAATTCTCGCAACATATAATAACTGTTGTACTACTGAAATAATCCTATACAATGTATATTAGAAATTGAAAGGATGACTGCACTTAAGGACATGCGAAAGATGACTGCACTTAAGGACATGCGAAATTTGCGACAAAATAAATTTTCAAAACAAACATTTTCTTCTTTTAATTGCAGGAATGGTCAACATCTAATCTATAACTTTACGTAATTACATAAATAAAAGTATATATTTACGAAGTACGAATCTGTTTACAAAGGCGGGGGTCATCACAATTTCTTGAATCTCCGTACGATAATGAGGACGCCCACTTTTTTACGGACTTGATACATGGTCAGCGCATGTTTGTCTACTGTTCTCCTTTTAAAGTAGTTGTATATTTACATTACTAATGTTGTGTCAAACGGAGATTAATAGACAAACATGCACTCATGGTTTAAACGAGAAAAAACTTCCTCTTCTTACATTCGCTCTCTCTATTGTAACCAAGGGCTGTGACATGTTGAATATTATATTTCACCACGTGATTTCTTACTTGTGAATACTATATTCCGTCACGTGACTTGTAAAGAAGCATGTTTTGAACTAGGACACTGTGCTCGAAGACATTCAATTGTTAGGCATTGATTTAAATCCTTCTTTACTTACATGGACGTGCTCATATTGTTAATTTCGTTTTGAAACCTTTGTAAATAGTGTACTTGTGCCATACAGAATAAAGAGGGAATGGGAAAGAGTGATCGCATATTTTTAATACATGTCATTGTTATTTATCTAGTCTAATTTTAAACCCATTCTTATAATGTTAGCTCCACCTCTCTGATGTACAATCAAGGGCAGGTAAGTGTAAATTCTCTATGTTTGGAAAGAGTCAGGACAGGAAACATAGAATCATTTTATTGTATCACAGCCTAAAATTATTTTAACATGTAAATTTGGTTCCAAAATGACAGGAAATGACAGAAAAAAACGCATTTTTCTTTTATTGAAAGGATGGTCAACATCAAATGAGGACGCCCACTTTTTACTGACTTCATACATAGTCAGCATGCATGTTCTCCGTTTCACAGTAGTTGTATATTTGCATTAATATCGATGTATCAAAAGGAGATTGATAGACAAACATGCACTCATGGTTAAAAGGAGAAAAAAACAGCTTCTTCTTACATTTGTTCTCTCTGATGTAACCAAGGGTCGTGGCATGTTAAATATTATAATTCACCACGTGATTTCTTAACTCGGGTAACTCTGTGAATACTAAATTCCTCACGTGACTTGTAAGGTAGCATGTTTTGTGCTAACTAGGACATTGTGTTCGAACACGTTAAATCGTCTGGCATTGATTTAAATCCTTCTTTATTACATAGACGTGCTCATATTGTTAATTTCGTTTTGAAACTTTTGTCAGTAGTTTACTTGTACTATAGAGAATCGAGAGGGAAATAGGAAAGAGTGATCACGTTTTTTTCGTACATGTCATTGTTATTTATCTAATCTAATTTTAGAACTGTTCTTATAATGTAAGCTCCACCTCTCATACATACCTAATGTTCAATCAAGGGCAGGTAAGTGTAAATTCTCTATGTTTGGAAAAGAGTAAGGACAAAAAACATTGAATCAATTTATTGTATCACAGGCTAAAATCATTTTAATATTGAAATTTGGTTCCAAACTGACAGGATTCTTTCATAAATATACAAAAGTGAATTTCGGTTTAGATATAAAAGCAAAGACCTATAAAGACCCAAAAGTCGGCGTTATTTCGACAAACTCTGTTGTCCTGGTCACTAAAAATACCCATTCCAGTGAAATTCTTTCAAAAAGCTACTCCTCCTACAGATTTGGTCCGATATCAAGAGGACTTTTAGATGAACAGTCTGTATCTACAGATGGTTTAAAAATCGTATTATGAGTATGTTCCTGACCACATACAATGTCTGCTTATTCATCTTCTTACAACATAGTTGTCTGCAACTTCGTGAATGTCATTACAGCTGAATAAATGTCCTTACTTGTTACAAAAATGCGATGTGCTCAATGAAAGAAGAGTCTATTATTAATCTAAGACAAAAGACCGAGGTTAACTTTATGAACAGGATATGTTATATATGAAGAGTTATGAAGAGTATCCTCTGTGCATCAAAACGTCATCATGGAATGCATTATAACAGTAGTGGACAGTTCTTTGGAAGCACTTTTTAACCTTTCAATCAACAGAGATACCGGTTGGAGAGCAAAACTTCACCCTTAGCAAAGAATCTCCAAGGATGAACTACTATATAGTATGTAGTAAATTCCCCCTCATAGGAGTTCTGCTTTTATAATAAAGATTCCGCATAGCAGATCTTCCTATATGTACATAATTTGTTCTAACTTTAGATGTCAGTGCAATTAAAGGTCATAGCCACAATTGGTTTACCTAGCGATTTGAATTTTTTTTTTTAATTCTTGGTTTCATTGTTCAAAATGCATTAAATTGGGTATTTCCAACAGTCCAAAATCTTAATGCTAGTTGTCAATTAACATGTATCTCACAGATCTTCCGATTCTCTGTAATGCCATGTTGTAAATTTTGAATTTACCGGGTGGTAGTAAAAACAAAATTTACAAGTTGTCATGTTGTAAATTTTGTATTTACTGCCACTCGGTAAATTCAAAATTTACAACATGACAGTAATATCACATTAAACAAGGTCTCGTGCATTTATGTTTTCAAATAAAAAGCTGTAAGGATCAAATAATCGAAAATAGCTCTGTAGAATTCGATAGTATAACAGTTTAAAACGAAATAATTATAACCCGGATACAATTATAATTTGGGGAGCATCTACTACATCGCAAACATGCCAGGGGTAAGAAATGCAATAAAGAAGGGAAAATTTGCTGTCTGGCAATCATTCCTCGGGAGAAGATTTGCAATACACTCGTAACATTTCTTACTTAAGAGAAAGACTTGCGTTGATTTGTCTTCTAAAATGATTTTGTTGGCATTACTTTTCGTTGTTTCGAAAGTAACTCTATTCAATATATAGTCATATTAAAATTTCGTGAGGGATTTTATTTCGTTGATGATTGTTAACAACGAAATAAACGAAATTTAATCCACAACGAATATTTTTGCTTTTACAGTAGCAAATAATCCGGAGGAAGTTTTGCAATATAGCAAACCTTCCCCGGGGATTTCTGTAAGGGGAAACCTTGTTATGGAACACCTACTCAGTATTTCTGGTAGGAGGTGGCCATAGAAAGAAGACGATTGATTTATGGTTCAAAAGGTTAAAGCAGATATTTCCCAACTTCTAGTTCCGATTAAAAGTAATTTGCGACTTTCCAGTATCATAGCAGATACTAGTACCATGTGACTCGTGAAGGAAACCTGACCCTTTTCGAAACTTGAACCTTATTAATCAAATTAAATACAACATCAAAATATCCTGCAATTTCGGTTGAATTTCTCTGATATAATATTCGGGTACTTCGGTTTCGATGAATGTGGTCGCCTGCGTGGCGCAGTGGTTAGAGCGTCTGCTCTAGAGTCGCGAAGTAAGGAGTTGATCCTTACGTCGCGGGTTCGAATCCCACTGTGGGACGTGGAGACCGGTCCTTCGGATGAGACCGTATAAATCGAGGTCCCGTGTCGCAGTAGGTGCTGGCACGAAAAAGATCCCTCACTGCTCAATGGCCGTAAGTGCCGAGTGTAGGACAAAATTTGCAGCTCTCCACCGGCAAATGGTGGCGTCTCCATATGAGTGAAAAATTCTCGAGAGGGACGTTAAACAACATACAATCAATCAATCAATCGATGAATGTGTCTTTGACACATGATATTCGGAATGCTGTATTTTTCATACACTGTATAGACAGATCCAGGAATTTGTGAAAATGATACCCGTATGATCGTTAAGACACACCCTACCTTGCTAATGTACGTAATATTATGCAGATTTGGAGACAGTTCTTAGACTTCCTATTCAGTCATATTTTATGAACTCGCATAAATGTGTGTTTTTGTCCACAAAAAGGTTGGGGGTGAGGTCGCATCGGGATCCCCTGTGACGCCTTCCCCCGTTTCTGAATCCGCCCTTGCATTGTCTGGGCTTAAAGTTGAAAATTAACTTCTGAAAATTGAACTTAAGATTTTTCCACAACACATTGGAATGCAGACACAATCGATTACAAAGAATCACATCGTATGTAATTTTACTCATTTTTGAACATCCATAGGACCCATTAGTCGATGATGCAATTTAAGACCATGACAAAAACTGATTATGAAACGCATACTTTTTTGTATTTGATAACAAAAATAGAATTCGTATAAAAACATATATTCTGTATTTAGCTACATATAATTATTAAACTTAGAAATAGAGTATGGGTTTTACAAAACAAGACTAAAGGTCAATCCTTATCAATTGCTGTGATTCACACACACAAAAAATAATGATCATGTGACACGTTAATTCGGTTGACATTTCCCGTGCATTTGAATGGGAGGGATGCTAAAAGTCCCATGTAGATCCAAAGTGTAAGTGCTCAGGAGTAATTTTTTTCTCGACGAAAATTTCTACACCTTTCTCATTCAGATATGATGGATAAAGTTTTGGAGAAAGGAGAGAAATCAAAGGTTCATAAAGTTTGGAAACACCTTACCTTTATTCTTGGAATGTTTTCCTTAGTACTCTTGATGGTGATTTTAGTGAGTATTGTGATAATCAGCAGAAAGAAACCGGAAGATATCTCAGAATGCTATGGACTTCCTGCTTCAGGTCCTATAGATTTGACAGAACCAGATTCTCCTCCTGCTTTCCACGATTTGACTAGGAAAGAAATCCAAACTATTTTGGATTTCATGTACTCACTGAAAAAGTTGAATCTAACAGAACCTCAAAATGCCACCATTGCATCAAACTATATATACTCTGTGGAATTGATTCTTCCCAAGAAAAGCAACATTATTCAACCTTATCCCGAGACTTTAGTGAAAAGACGTGCATTGGTGACAATATTTCAGGGAGCAAACACCAAACCCGATGTTGTAGAGTACCATGTAGATATAACATCATCACCACCAAAGCTACTTTTGTCGACAAAGTCTATTCCCTTTTCTTTCCGACCATTATCTTCTATAGAATTTGCAGTCTCTGAAAGGGTCGTTAAAGAAGAGTGTGATAAAGTTGTAGGAGATATTTTGCAGCAAAGTTTCGGAGGACATCTTTTTAATTGTGGGAACAAATGCTTAGGACTCAAAGATTTTGTTCCTTTTCCTGCTCACATAGCAGGAATACGCGGTCAAGGCTATCGTGGTATGTGGGCTCTATTCCTGCAACAGAAAGAACCAAGCAATCTTCATCCAGTTGATTTTGCTGTCTTGCTAAGAATGAATGGAACTGCAAGACCCGAAACCAGCGACATTTGGTATAATAATAGATTGTTTGATTCACTACAAAGTTTTAAGGAGAAATGGTTTAATGGAGAAGTCGTTAAGCAGCGTGTGGATTTCCCGCCATCGCATACACACCCTGAAGTCTTTCCCGAGTACCCACAAAGACCTCCCATTGAGATCGAACCAGACGGGAAACGGTACACTGTAAAAGACCGAAAAGTGTCCTATATGAACTGGAGCTTTCAATTTGGAATATCTGTTACTCATGGTCCTCGGTTGTACCAAATCAAATACAAAGATACAATAATTGTTTATGAGTTGGGGCTACAAGAAATCCTGGTCTTTTATTCGTCTTCAGATCCCTCCAGAATGTTTGCCAATTACTTTGACAGCATTGCATTGATTGGAAAGAATATACGTACTCTGGTTCCTGGGGTAGATTGTCCGAACCACGCTACTTTTATTGATTATACGCACATGTCGGAACTATCAAGAGCACCTGCTACGGAAAGCAAGGCAATTTGTGTGTTTGAACATAACACGGGTATTCCACTGCGACGCCATCATGGATTTTATGAAGCTCCTTCTGGATATTACGAAGGCGTACCAAGCATTGTTCTTATTCTTCGAATGATTGCAACAATCGTTAATTATGACTACATATTCGATTTCATCTTCTATCAAAATGGAGTCCTTGAAACTAAGGTGACATCAACAGGAGTCATCCTAACTTCACCCGTGTTATCACAAAGACACTATGGCTTTCAACTAAATGACCGTTCCATTGGTACCATACATCATCACATGTTTCATTTCAAAGTTGACCTTGATGTAGGGGATTCCATCAATAGCTACTCCACTTTTGACATAGAAAGAGACAGCATTGCAAATCAATTCTCAAGGGAGAAAAATCCAGATAAATGGTACCAAGAGAAGATCGCACAAGTAAATTATGCTACCGAAAGAGAGGCCGCATATAAATTTAACTTCAGCATCCCAAAATACCACGTGTTCTACAGTGTAGACGATGCTCACAAGGACAAATACGGTAATCGCAAAGCCTACAGAATACTACACAGGGGTATGTCAAAAAGTGTGTTACCAGAAGGTTATGGAAACGAACCCGGGGCGTCTTGGATGAGGTACCAAATGGTTGTCACAAAGCGCAAAGAAAATGAACCTTACAGCTCCTCCAAATACGCTAGTTTTGATGGAGAACAACCTACTGTTGACTTCGAAAGTTTTATTGGGGACGAAAATATACAAAGAGAGGTAAGTATTTTTTGTCTTTTAATCGTTACTTTTCGAGAAAGTGATATCGAGACCTTTTTAGAAATTATGTAATATTTTAAATGTACTTATTTCCCTATACTGCAAGGATTTGGTTGCCTGGATCACCATGGGAACCCATCACATTCCCCATACAGAAGATCTCCCCGTAGTGACGACACCTGGAACCGACGTCAGCTTCCTCCTGCTGCCATTCAACTTCTTCCACGAGGATCCAAGCATTGGTATCCGTGACAACATCCGCATTCATTATGAAAATTCCAAAAATCCGTTGGAGCCATTAACAATTAAGAGGCAAACTAAAACGGAAGACCTGAATTGCTTTCCCCCAAAGACATATAGTCTTGATGACCTGGTAGTAAAACCCGAGGCATTTATTAATCGTCCGATGTAGATTCATAAGGGTTTATGATCAACTACTTTCCTCTATGAGGATGAGGAGAGTAGCGGATCAGAAAATCGAAACTCTTACTTCATTTTGATAGGCTGTTGTCGACTTTACACTTATTAAAGGTGTACCTAGGGGTCTCGTTCAGTAATCCTTTTTTTGTGATCGAGAATTTGATTTTACCTAAAACTAAGCAAGAGAATTACGCGAGGTTTAGTGGTAGAAGCGTGCGTTGTCTGTCTGTTTCTGTCCTGTGTCTTCTGTCAGCTTTTCACATTTTCGAATTCTACCTTAGAACTACTTGACCAGTTACAACTAAACTTGACACAAATTAAACAGCCATGCCCTATTTTCGAACGAGATAAATTCAGCATAGTGAAGAGGATGGGTCATTTAAAAAAATGTATGAAAAGTTCCTTATTTCCTTACAGATCGTCAATTAATCAAAACTATGATCAACATTTACTAGGATGGGGTCAAATTATGAGGTTCTATAAAAAGAACAAAAGGAACATAATTTATCCCAATGTAGTGTTGATTCAAAAGTGTTCAAATTTTTGTCAATGAGCTTAGGTATACCAAAACATAGGTTTGTGAAGTCACAATAGGACATAGGGTCATGTGGAGAATGGAGGAAAAAAGTATTACTCAGATCTAAAAGAAAAAGACTATGATTTTAAGTATGACATCAAGCCTCAATAAAGGCCCAGTGTAAAGTATGCTTGTTATTTTTTTCCTTTACTTCATTTTTATAGCCATTTTATTTTATCATATGATTGAATAATTCCTACAATGTATCTCTCTGATTTGCTCATCGTCAACTAGTGGACTCAGGACCCCTGACATGTGAGAATGGGTAGGTATCTACTCGAATGACGTCATCATTAGTAGTACCGTTAACCACTGCATTGAAAAGTATAATGATCATTGTACGAGAATACTAGACTTATGACAGATCTTGTTTTTAAAGATATTTGTAGCAAACAGTGAGTGTTTCATTTCATGTTAATAAACCTACATTTACAGTGTATGTCGGCCTGGGTAGCTCAGTAGGTAGAGCGTCTAACTAGAGATACAGGGGGTCCCACGTTCGATTCCCGGTCCAGCCATGCATTTTTCTCCCTTCCTGTTACAATAAAAATATTGTATTTATACATACATGTAGCATACATTTTTACAGCTTTTTAAGTGCAACAGATGTAAATCATATATTCTAAAGAGAAAAATAAGGATATTAACAATTGTATTATGAATGTATAGTTTTGTAAAATTTGGAAATCATTTAGTATACTTTCCACTCCAATGTTCTTCAATTACATGTATATATAATAAATGAAATTGACAGTTATTATGGTTTTCTAACATAATATCAGATAAATAGATTTGATAGTTACATGTATTTTGCTTTTATATTGTAATCAGAACTTGCAACTACTGACTTTGGTTGAACAGGTCGAGGAATCTACCTTATATGGCAATTGTAGTTATGGCACACAGCAGAGCTTACCATGAACAGTTGTCCCAAAAAGCATACATATACCTCGTCCAATCCGCTAAATGAACAGCAGATTATGATGGTTTACTATATGTTTACATTTTACTACAAACACGTGGTTCGAGTCAATTTACGAGGTAATTATCGTTATATTGAAATGCGGGAAAGACAATATTGAAACTCATTTCCATTGTTTTTATAAAAAATACAAAGATAGGTTTTAAAAAAGATATTCCATGCTCACATGAAGAAAGGATGTTTTTTTCCGAGTTAAATAATAGATTGAAATCCCATCACAAAACCATCACATGTTTAGCATGGTATGGCCAATATATGATAAGTATGGACATCTAAGTTACTATAGTCTTGGTCCAGGGAATCCACGTGAAATTTTTATTCACATATACTACAAAATACGTTTATAATTCAATTGTTTGTAAATGTGAGCATAGAAATAGAAGATAAAAATATACGTATTTTATTTATGTGAAATGCATGAAAAAAAAAATAGAATGCGTCTCCCAGAGCGAGTATAACAAGAGATGTTTGTGAAACACCTATGCCCCCCCCCCCCCCCAAATAATAGGAATTTTTCCAAGTCCAAGGGGCATAACTCTGACAAAAATTGCTCGATCGTTCCCAAAACAGAACTTGACCTAGATATTTTTATGTTTGTTTGTTTGTTTATTGTTTAACGTCCCTCTCGAGAACTTTTCACTCATATGGAGACGCCACCACATGCCAGTGGAGAACTACAATAGTGGTATCTTGCTTTTCAGACATATCCAGAATGTTCACATAGAGAACAAACTGATGAAAATTAACATGTACAACACCAACAAAAAATCCCCTTGAATTATTAAAATAATTGTTACTGACATTCACAAACTTTATTGCATACTTCAACTTTTCATACAAAATACATGTACTTTTTGAGATTCTGTAGAATACATGTAATCATTACATAATCAGATGAAATTTTAAATGACCAGTTTCTTACTTCTTGTAAAGCAAAATGACACAAAAAACATGACACACGAGTGGAATATAGGATTTGACCAGCATAACCAAGTAACAGAAAATGTATAGATTGGCACGTTTAACACCCAAAAAATATCATTTAAAAAATACATATAATGAAAAGAAAAAAAAAATCAAAAACACGATTTCATTTTTTCCTTAAAATTTCTGCATGTATTCAATGTTAAAATAATAGATGCCATTCTTATAAACATGCATTTTTTTTTATCAAAATAATCTCTTCTCTCCTTGGACAGTTTTCCTTCTTTAGCACTATAATGTTGTTTAGCACTTCAAACTGTTATATCACAGAAACATTTTTTGTAGAGTTTGTGTTTTTTACGAGATCACTCAAACTTGATTCCTTGGGCTAAGGGAAGCTCCGTACTGTAGTTAATTGTGCTGAAAAAAAAGACACAATTGAGTAAAAAGTGAATCTAAATACAGTACTATATGTATACTAATCCTAACTTATTTAAAATTTAGCTCATCTGGACATTTTTAATTCCAGACAAGCAACCAGATATAGCCTTGTTAAAGCTTATATTCATCAAGGGAATTTCTATTTTGGATGTAATCAAGAATACTAGTAAGCATGCTGTCAACAGTGAACATGGTGCTACAATACGACTTCTGATACAAGTCCACAAATGGTACCACTCCATTTATGCATAAATGTTCAAGTTTCCCACTAAAAATGAAATTAAGATCTGCAAAGGAACTTAAAATGCAGTATGTAAAAATCGCCCCCTATTTCTGGCCTTCCTTGAACCCCACAATTCAATATTTAAAAAAAATAGACACACACAACTTCAGAATGTAATCTAGTGTAAGTCTGCAAAAGAATTTTTTAATCCAGATAAATTTCAATTTAAACAATTGATCCCCTAATGTGGCCCCACCCTACTAGCTGGGGGCCATGATTTGAACAAATTTGAATCTGCACTATATTAGTGCTGAATTTTAAATTTTGAACAATCAATGTGTCAATTTGAATAATGCATTAGTGCGTTTTAAAAATTTTTCTGAATAGCTGTCCATGCTAGGACACGTTGAACATCCAAAATCTAAAATTCAAAACTTTGATTTTACTTATTTTTATTAATTACATGGTACACATACATTGTAGATTGATAAAATATCACTTCTTTGATTACAATATACCTGTTTAAATGATACACTGCACTTGTATAGCTAAATTGAGGGAGCAGCAATTACTCTTCCTGAGCATGATTTTTTCATTTATGATGTTGCACTTATATGGCATTCAACATTTAAGATGTAAAAATGAAATCATAACTTTAACCTTTTGACCTTCCTGTCCGCGTTTTGGAATTTCTGAATGCCAAAGCTTTCGACACACTTTATAAATACATATGCAATGTAGATATTTGGGAATGTTTGCATATTAATATTACTAATCATGGCCCAGGGATTCTTGAAAAGAAGATTTTTAAATCATTATTCTTTTTATGTTCCCATGTAAAACTTTAATCTCTAATGTGGCCCAACCTTATCCACTGGGGGCATGATCTGAACAAACTTGAATATACACTATGTCAGGAAGCTTCCGAATAAGTTTTCATCTTTTTTGGCCCAGTGGTTTTTGAGATTTTTAAGGAACCCACCCAATTTTAACTATTTCTTAAATATCTCCCCTTGAAAGAGGGCATGGCCTTCATTTGAACAAACTTTATTCCCATTTACGCAAGGATCTTTGTGGCAAATTTGGTTAAAATTGGCCCTGTGGTTTTTAGTACAAAGAAGTTGATAATATGAAAAGTTTATGACAGAAAGAGGCTGGACAAAATGTGATCAGAAAAGTTCACTTTGAGCTTTCAGTTCAGGTTAGCGCAAAATCAAGTTTTTCTTTCCAAATGAAGAGATGTTTACCATGTAGACCTCCTCATGTACTGCTTCCAGGCATCACTTCCTGATTCTCTGCCTCCACCAGTCTCCTTCTCACCACCTTATAGAAACAAAATCAACACCATCATTACATAGGAACAAAATCAACATTGTCATTACATAGAAACAAAATCAACATTATCATTACAAAGGAACAAAATCAACATTATCATTACATAAGAACAAAATCAACATTGTCATTACATAGGAACAAAATCAACATTATCATTACATAGAAACAAAATCAACATTATCATTACAAAGGAACAAAATCAACATTATCAACATTATCATTATATAGGAACAAAATCAACATTATCATTACAAAGGAACAAAATCAACTTTATGATTACATAGAAACAAAGTCAACATTATCATTACATAGAAACAAAATCAACATTATCATCATTATATAGTAACAAAATTAACATTATTATCATATCTACACTATAAACTTCTGTTGTATGATAAATGTACTTTACAAGAAATGCAATTTAGAATAAATTAAACTTTGAATTTTGATAAAGTTTCACCCACATTAACTTCGGGGAAAATTCTTTACCTATTTACCTATACTTTTTTCATTATGAGCTGACTTATAAGTTTGACATTTTTTGTTTTTTGCAGTTATCTCAATAAGCATCCAGTTTTTTCTTACCGAATGCACCACCTATTTCTGCACCACTTGTTGGAATATTCACATTTACAATGCCACAGTCTGAACCCTTAGGTCTGGAAAACAAGAGGCCCATGGGCCACAACGCTCACCTGAGTCAATATGGCCCTGCTGTTCTTCATCAGCAGATTTCTTCTCTTATATATTCATATAAAGCTTTGATCGCCTGTTCTAGGCATACCCTACCCCCAGGTGCCATGTTATGAATGAAATTGAATATAAACCTTCTGAGGATGCTGCTATATTCAGATAACTAATCATGGTTTTGCTGTTTTTAAAAAAGGAATTTTAAAGATGTCTAACACCCTACCCTGGGGGTTGGGGGTGGGGTGGGGTGGGGTCATGATAAGAACAAACTTGAATGTACACTACCTGAGGATGCTTTCATATCAATATGACTAATCATGACTTTGTTGTTCTTGAGAAGAAGATTTTTAAAAATATTTCCTATATATTTTCTTTCGTAAAACTTTGATCCTCCATTATGGCCCCACCCTTCTACTGGAGGATGCATTGAACAAACTTGAATCTACAATACCTGGGGATGCTTCCATATCAATATGACTAATCATAGCTTTCCTTTCTTGAAAAGATCTTTAAAAATTTTTCCTATATATTCCTATGTAAAACTTTGATCCCCCATTGTAGCCCCACCCTACCCCCGGGGGTCATGATTTGAACAAACTTGAATCTACACTACCTGAGGATGATTCCATATCAATATTACTGATTCTGGCTTTGTTGTTCTTGAGAAAAAGATTTTTCAGAATTTTTTCTATATATTCCTATGTAAAACTTTGATCCCCCATTGTGGCCCTGCCCTACCCCCTGGGGTCATTATTTGAACAAACTTGAATCTACACTACCTGAGGATGATTCCATATCAATATGACTAATTCTGGCTTTGTTGTTCTTTAGAAGAAGATTTTTCAGAATTTTTTCTATATATTCCTATGTAAAACTTTGATTCCCCATTGTGGCCCCGCCTTACCCCCTAGGGTCATGATTTGAACAAACTTGAATCTACACTACCTGAGGATGATTCCATATCAATATGACTAATTTTGGCTTTGTTGTTCTTTAGAAGAAGATTTTTCAGAATTTTTGCTATATATTCCTATGTAAAACTTTGATTCCACATTGTGGCCCCGCCCTATCCCTGGGGGTTCTGATTTGAACAAACTTGAATCTACACTACCTGAGAATGATTCCATATCAATATGACTTATTGTGGCTTTGTTGTTCTTGAGAAGAAGATTTTCAAAGAATTTTCCTATATATTCCAATGTAAAAATTTGATCCCCCATTGTGGCCCCACCCTACCCCCGGGGGTCATGATTTGAACAAACTTGAATCTACACTACCTGAGGATGATTCCATATCAATATGACTAATTCTGGCTTTGTTGATTTTCAAAGAATTTTCCTATATATTCCTATGTTAAACTTTGATACCCCATTGTGGCCCCACCCTACCCCCGGGGGTCATGATTTGAACAAACTTGAATCTACACTATGTAATGAAGGTTTCACATAAGTTTCATTTTTTCTGGCCCAATGGTTCTTGAGAAGAAGATTTTTAAAAGATGACACCAATTTTTCACCAATTCTTAATTATCTCCCCTTGGAATTGGGCGTGGCCCTTCATTTGAACAAACTTGAACCCTCTTCACCCAAGGATGCTTTATGGCAAGTTTGGTTGAAATTGGCCCAGTGGTTCTTCAGAAGAAGTCAAAAATGTGAAAAGTTTACAGACGGACTGACAGACAGACGGACTACAGACAAAATGTGATCAGAAAAGCTCACTTGAGCTTTCAGCTCAGGTGAGCTAAAAATATTTAAATACATAAACATGTAAAGATTTAACACATCTGAGTTTTTAAAAAAAAAACTATCAATTTTCTGCATAAAAACTCACCCCAGCCATCTAAATATGGCATTCATATCCTTGGTGAATAAACTGCTGGATAAGCCCTGCTTGACTTCATTGTTAATCTTGAAAGCATCATCTAGATTCTGTGAAGAGATTATGCATCAAAATCAACAAAACCTAAATAGATGCAACTATTTCTTGAATGTCTTATATGCAAATGAATTTTGGTCATCAGAAAATATACAAGAGGCCCATGGGCCACATCGCTCACCTGAGCACATTTGCTAGGCAAAAGCACAAATCAGTTCAGTATTGAAAAGATTACCTGGGGGTGGGGGGGGGGGGAGGGGGGGCTTGAATTTTAAACTACCTGATGATGCTTCCATGTCAATATAACAAATGGCTTTATTGTACCTGAGAAGATTTTAAAAAATTTTTCTCATATATTCCTTTGTAAAAATTTGATTCTCCATTGTGGCTCCTCCCTATCCCAGGTTCATCATTTGAACTTGAATCTACACTACCTGAGGATGCTTCCATATCAATATGACTAAACATAGCTTTCCTGTACTTGAGAAGAAATATTTTCTCTATATGTTCTTATGTAAAACTTTCGATCCCCCAATGGGCCCCATCCAACCCCTGGGGGTCATCATTTGAACAAAATTGAATCTACACTACCTGAGGATGCTTCCATCAAAATGACTAATCATGGTTTGCAGTTCTTCAGAAGAAGAAATTTCCCTATATATTTCTACTTAAGACTTTGATCCTCCATTGTGGCCCCATCCTACCCACGGGTGTCATGATTTGAACAAAATAGAATCTACACTACCTGAGGATGCTTCAATATAAATATGATCAATCAGGGCTTTCCTGTTTCTGAGAAGAAGATTTTTAAAATTTTTCCTATACATTTCTATGTAAAACTTTGATCCTCCATTGTGGCCCCGCCCTACCCCCTGGGGTCACGATTTGAATAAATTTGAATCTCCACTACCTGTGGATATTTCCATATAAATATGAACAATCTGGGCTTTGCTGTTCCTGAGAAGAAGATTTTTCCTATATATTTCTATGTACAACTTTGATAGTCCATTGCAGCCCTGCCCTAGCCCCGGTGGTCATGATTTGAACAAACTTGAATCTACACTACCTGAGAACGCTTCCATATAAATATGATTCATCATGGCTTTGCTGTTCTTGAGAAGAAGATTTTTAAAGATTTTTCCTATATATTATTTCTATATAAAACTTTGATCCTCCATTGTGGCCCCGCCCTACCCCTGGGGGTCATGATTTGAACAAACTTGAATCTACACTACCTGAGGACGCTTCCATATAAATATGACTCATCATGACTTTGTTGTTCTTGAGAAGAAGATTTTTAAAGATTTTTCCTATATATTTCTATGTAAAACTTTGATCCTCCATTGTGGCCACGCCCTACCCCCGGGGGTCATAGTTTGTACAAACTTGAATCTACACTACCTGAGGATGCTTCCATATAAATATGACCCATCATCACTTTGCTGTTCTTGAGAAGAAGATTTTTAAAGATTTTTCCTATATATTTCTATGTAAAACTTTGATCCTCCATTGTGGCCCCGCCCTACCCCCGGGGGTCATGATTTGAATAAATTTGCATCAACACTACCTGTGGATGTTTCCATATAAATATTACTCATCATGACTTTGCTGTTCTTGAGAAGAAGATTTTTAAAGATTTTTCCTATATATTTCTATGTAAAACTTTGATCCTCCATTGTGGCCCCGCCCTACCCCCGGGGGTCATGATTTGAACAAACTTGAATGTAAACTACTTGAGGATGCTTCCACATGAGTTTCATCTTTCCTGGCCCTATGGTTCTTGAGAAGAAGATTTTTAAATGTTGCCATTATTTTTTCACTAATTCCTAATTATCTCCCCTTGAAAGAGGGCGTGGCCCTTCATTTGAACAAACTTGAATCCCCTTTACCCAAGGATACTTTGTGGCAAGTTTGGATGAAATTGGCCCAGTGGTTCTTGAGAAGAAGTCAAAAATGTGAAAAGTTTACAGACAGACAGACAGACAGACGGACAGACAGACAGACGGACAGACAGACGGACGCCGGACAAAATGTGATCAGAAAAGCTCACTTGAGCTTTCAGCTCAGGTGAGCTAATAAAATGTATAAAACATTTCTATTAAGATGGATTTTTAGTCATTAATAGCACTTACTGAGAATTTTACTACATATACAATAGGTACAAATGTCTCCTTCAGAACAATTGGGGAATCATGCTTCAGTCCAGTTACAATGGTAGGCTCCACAAAGTTTCCTGGTCTGTCAATTTTCTATTAATAAATACAAAGAATTCAGACTTGACAACAGCAGTTACAGTAAACTTCTTTTATAACGTACTCTGTTATAAAGTATCTCCGGATATAAAGTAGCCATTCCGTAGTCCCAGCAAATTGCCTCTATATTCCATTGGAAACAAGAGGCCCAAGGGCCACATCGCTCACCTGAGCACTGTGGCTAGGAAAAAAGGAAAAATCAGTTTAGTATTGAAAAGCTTAAATGCATAAGTGGTCCCAACCTACCCTAAAAATGGAGTGGGGGGGGGGGGGGGGGTGGTCGTCATGATTTGAACAAACTTGAATCTACACTATCTGAGGATGCTTCCGTATAAATATGACAAACCGTGGCTTTGCTGTTCTTGAGATTTTTAAAGATTTTTCCTATATATTCCTATGTAAAACTTTGATCGTCCATTGTGGCCCCACCCTACCCCCAGGGGTCATAATTTGAACAAACTTGAATCTACACCACCTGAGGATGCTTCCACATAAATATGACCAATCATAGCTTTGCTGTTCTTGAGAAGAAGATTTTTGAAGATTTTTCCTATGTACACCTATGTTAAACATTGATCGTCCAATGTGGCCCCACCCTACCCCTGGGGGTCATGATTTGAACAAACTTGAATCTACACCACCTAAGGATGCTTCCACATAAATATGACTAATCATAGCTTTTCTGTTCTTGAGAAGAAGATTTTTGAAGATTTTTCCTATATATTCCTATGTAAAACTTTGATCGTCCAATGTGGCCCCACCCTACCCCCGGGGGTCATGATTTGTACAAACTTGAATCTACACCACCTGAGGATGCTTCCAAATAAATATGACCAATCATAGCTTTTCTGTTCTTGAGAAGAAGATTTTTGAAGATTTTTCCTATATATTCCTATGTAAAACTTTGATCGTCCAATGTGGCCCCACCCTACCCCCGGGGGTCATGATTTGTACAAACTTGAATCTACACCACCTGAGGATGCTTTCAAATAAATATGACCAATCATAGCTTTGCTGTTCTTGGGAAGAAGATTTTTAAAGATTTTTCCTATATATTCCTATGTAAAACTTTGATCGTCCATTGTGGCCCCACCCTATCCCCGGGGGTCATGATTTGAACAAACTTGAATCTACACTACCTGACAATAATTCCACATGAGTTTCATCTTTCCTGGCCCACTGGTTCTTGAGAAGAAGATTTTTCAATAATGCCATTAATTTTTTGCTATTTCGTAATTATCTCCCCTTGGAGGAGGGCGTGGCCCTTCATTTGAACAAACTTGAAACCCCTTCACCCAAGGATACTTTGTGCCAAGTTTGATTGAAATTGGCCCAGTAGTTCTGGAGAAGAAGATGAAAATGTGAAAAGTTTACGACAACAACGACGCCGACGACGCCAACGCCGACGACAGACAACGGACAAATTTTGATCAGAAAAGCTCACTTGAGCCTTCAGCTCAGGTGAGCTAAAAACACCGCTTACAACGTATTTGTATATAACGTAGTATCGCTTATAAAGTATTAGAAATTTGGTCCCGTTACTTAATTACACCTCTTGTAACGTATTCTGACACCTGGTTTCACACCTTTTCTATCAGCTCAGTGACGACGGATTAGTCACGGTTTGTTGACTTCATATCTTCTCCGTATTGGGTGTTTTTCTAACGAGGTTTCTTTGTTGTATCAGGTAGATGTACAGTTAAACTTCGTTATCTCGAAGTTGACGGGACCGTTGCTGAACTTCGAGATATCCGGGGGTTCGATATATCGAGGGTTATAATTCAAATGAACTTCAAATAAACTTAGTGCATTGAATATTTACTTAATAGTAAAAACATGTCAAATTCCTTCTTATTTGAAATTCTGTATGCGATTTCTTTAATATGCATGTACATTTATTTAGCAATAAAAAGATTTTTACATCCTCTTTATAATTCACAAAATAAAAACTTTGTATGATATGCACAGAAGTATAATCCTTCTACCAACCCGGCAAGTCAACCTCTAGCATCGTTTCCCATGTATACATAACCAGATATCGTCTATGCATTGTAATTTTAAAACCGGTTGCTGTCAGAATAAAGAAAAGGAAATATACATTTTCTATTATTAGAAAACCATGTTCATATATGTATAATCAGTTAAAAGAAATTATTTTACCATAATAAAATCAAATGCAAAAGAAGAATCACACACTTTTGTCTTACAATAGAACAACACTGAACCACAGGGCACTATAGCACAAGTTTTCACTGCGACACACGCTCACATGATGGTGTGTATAGACGATTGTAAATTCTGCACGCTCATATAGGAAAAATAAATTCTAATTGCATTAAATTACAGAATTTTGTTTTACTTCGATCTTTATAATTTTCACATATGCATAAACTATGTATGCGCGCTTATTTCACATAGCATTAAATAGCGATTATCAAGATAAACGTACCCAAGCCACAAAACAACGTGTCATCCACGTGTATGCATTAGACTAATACACACAACCTTTGGCTTGCATAATTAAAATCAAGGTAAGCCATACATACACTTTGTATAATTAACGCGCTATTATTTGTTGATCACAGGAACACAGGTAACCCGAGCGTGACAGACAGGTGGGTGTTATCAATAGAGCATTCACTTTACCTAACGGACTTGATCATCAGAGCGGAAAATTATCCTGACTTCGAGATAACGCATGTGATTTTAGTGAACGGGTACACAATTTTACTTCGAGATAACCGGGGTGTTCGACATTACCGTGTTCGACATAGAGGGGTTTATTTTAATCATTTATAAAGCAAATGTCGTCAGGACCGCGGCCTTACTTCGACATATCCGGGGTATTCGAGATATCCGTGTTTTGAGATTTGGAAGTTTAGCTGTATTTATAATAAATTGTTTGAATAAAGTTCATCGAGTAGATGTATTCATAAAAAATTGTTTGAATAAAAATTATCTGAGTCAGTAAATAGCAATATAACTGAAAATGATTTAATTAAACTAGTGAAAGAAAAATACAGTGATTCAATATCAGTAAACCGCGATGACAACGAGGCCATGCCTGACACGTGCATACCATCTACCCAGACGATCAACAGACATTAGTCCGAAGTTTTCACTACTCTGGCAACTCTGGAGACTTTTGTAAATAAATGATATCAGGCTAAACAGGCTAACATTACGGACTTTTTATATGATCTGACGATCAATAAAAAAACGTTACTGAATATTAATCTTTGTTAATATAAGAAACGAAACCAAATATACTTGTAAATCATTTACTGAATATTAATCTTTCTTAATATAAGAAACGAAACCAAATATACTTGTAAATCATTTACTGAATATTAATCTTTCTTAATATAAGAAACGAAACCAAATATACTTGTAAATCATTTACTGAATATTAATCTTTCTTAATATAAGAAACGAAACCAAATATACTTGTAAATCATTTACAATCTATACATACTTTAAAATATTAATAACACACTAGCAGTTTGAAAACTTTTTACGGTAAAGGTGTACTGAGTACTTCCGGTCTCCGTTTATAACGTACACTGGTTATAATGTAGGATTTATCACAGTCCCTTGAGATACGTTATAAAAGATGTTTACTGTATTTAGATATACAGTTAAACTTGGTTATTGTGAGGTCCTTGAGATTTGCAGTTTACTTCACTATATCCTAAATTTGTTACATCAATAAAAAAATTTTCATAAAAAATACAAGTAGCAAATTTGCAATATATATGTACATGTCTTCATCCTTATGACTACCAAATATACTCATTGAAATCAAAAATGATCCTTTTGGTTTGGGTGGGGCATAGCACCTCAGCAACAGTTCTCAAAAACACTCTTTTTGGGCAATCTCATTAAAGTATTTTATACAAAAACTATCTTGGAGAGCTAAAATTTTCTGTTTGATAAAGTTTAAATGATAAATACCTACGAAAATGAATGTTTGCTTATTTTAAAATTTTCGGACCTTTGTCATCAAAGATTGGAATTATGGGACACAAAATCAACTCGCTAAATCCATAAATTTGTTAGAGTCCATTATAACCATAACATTTTACAAGGAATTGTTCAGAATGTTGCTGGAGACCCCCCAAACAGTTAATTATATCTGTAAAATCTGTGTTAGTACAAGACAACTTTTACTGTATCGACTGGATTCATTTTAATATATATATATTTTTTAAAATGCCCGGACATAATTTTTTTTTTTTTAAAAAAAAGGATTACTTAAGATCTTGTATATCATTTAGTTCAATGCAGGTTTTTGATAATTAAAAAAAAAACTATTTTCCTAATTGTGCCTACCTTTCCTCCACACTCTATCTTGCCTCCTTGAGCCTTTGCCTCTTCTATAGCTGATAAATAAAGATCTACTCCTTGTTGGCTGTGCATAGGACCATACAGTGTCCCATCTGTAAAGAGTGGTTAAATCTCTCTTACTGACATATAGAGCATGTATAAATCTGATGCAGATTTTCTTCACTTCAGAAAACTTACCTTCCAATGGATCTCCGATTCTGAGTTGTTTGTAGGCTTTCACCAGACGCTCAACAATCTGATCATGGACTTTCTCATGTAAAACCTAAAAAGAAATTTATGTTCATTAGATGATATTTAAAAGAAAAACTGGATAGAAGAATCACAATTATTAGAAATCATTGAATCTTATGTAAAATGATATCATAACAGCATCTTTTTAGTCTTCTTCAGAGTGTTGTATACTGTGAAATCACCAATATTATGTGGGGTTTAATTTTCGTTGTTTTCATAGTATGTAGAGATTGAGAATTATTTATATGTCCTCCAAGAAATATTAAATTCAGATATATAACACCTCTTCACTTTGTCAACCAAGAAATCAAATCCCAAGGAACCAATAATTTTTCCACAAACCACAAAAAAATTTGACCCCTCAAAAATAAATGATTTTACAGTATTTCCTATCAATATTGAAATCCTCATGTCTTCATTCCAAATCTTACCAGTCTCCTGGTGGTCGTACATCTCTGTCCTGCTGTGCCTGCACACGCAAACACAGCTGATCTCACAACCATGTCCAAATCAGCATCCTCATTTACTGTAATACAAACCATTTAATGTCAGAATTTACAGACAACACAGTTAACTAAAATATGAATCTTGAAAAGTGTGACTACTTACCAACAATGGCATTATTTCCTCCAAGTTCAAGCAGAAATTTACCTGAAATTGATGAAAGGGATCGAGTTCAGGTAAACTAGTTAGATGTTAATTTGATCTTTAAATATATTAATTCATACAAATGTTAAATTATTTGTATCTCATTGATAAATCCTAAGTTGAGCTCACCAAATCGTTCCTGTACCATTAAAGCTACTTTCTTTCCAACCTGGAAATAAATAATGGTGTGTAAACATTTTGAGATAACAAATTCCAATTTTTTCACATCCAATAAGTCAAGGTTCTAAAAAAAAAATTTAAAAATTCGATTTTATTATAAACATTATTATATACTTCATTAAAATATCAATCAGACCCATGAAGACTACATACACTGTCTACGGTGAAAATGTGATGTAATTTTTTCAATGGTATCTGAATTACATGTATCTTGATCATAATTAATATGTTGATGGTGCACCATATGAGCAAGCTCTGTAGAATAACAGGATAGCTAATTACTTTTAACTAAGATTTGCCTCATCAAACTGCATGAGACATTTGGAAGGTTTACTATGATGTTATATGATGTATGCAAGTTACATGACAGAATTTAAACAACAATTTTTTTGGATTAAGAGCATTCAATCAATGATCTATCTGCAATTTCCTTATGCAAGAAGAGTTTCATTTTCATATGTGAACTTCTATCGCAAGAACATATTTTTGGGCAAAGGATTGCAGGAACTGTAATTTGCGAAGCCTTGTTTAGTATAGTGTGGAAAAAATTCATTTGGATCAATGTGTACATTCAGAATTTTCTCTTTGCCAAGGTACTGCTTTAAGAGCTCGCTCCTCTCACTAATATCATAAATTGAATCACTGTACCCATTTTTAAAAAAAGAAATTTCTTCCATGATAGCTAATATTTCAGCCCCAACTTCACAGTTAATGAAAGAACTTTCATTGATGTTTAGGTATACACTGTTTATATTTCATATCAAGAGGTATGCTATTTAAATCTACAGCTGAATGAACTCAAATGCATCAGTTTTCTATAAATTCAAAAACACTGTCATTTCAAAGTGACCTTGAACTTGCCAAAATTACCCTGGGTTAGATTATGAAGCACCTTTACACCATACGCAATCTTTGTGTCAAGCATCAACTTCCATTTAATCTCCATTTGAGATTTATAGTCAGGATACAAATACTGGAAACACTTTTTTTGCCAGTGTCCTTGAACTTGCTGGAATGACCTTGGGTCATGGTCAATACAAACCCTTAAATCATATGCAATATTTGTGATAAGTATGTTTCTCCAAAAAGCAGTTGTAGACAAAAAATTTATACCGCTTCTGCCAGTGACCTTGAACTTGCTGGAATCACCTTGAGCCATGCTCTCTGGTCATAGACAATCTTTATACCAAGTTTGAGCTTCCAATGATTCTTTACTACAAAGCTATAGTCCAGACAAGATTGCCCTAACAGATTGACAGGTGATTCCTACATAACAACCCCCCAACTTATTGGGGGGGGGGGGGGGGGGTTATAATGAAAACTTAATATCTACTGTATATTATAATTGAGACTGGATATAAGGGGACTAAGGATCAATACTGTATACTGGCAAACAATTTTTTGAATTTTCCTAATGAGGCATACAAAAATACTTATGTTGGCAAAGTAGATATACATTTACATGAACTACTTACTGGTGTGCTCCCAGTGAAAGATAACAGGTTGATTCTTTCATCTTTTGCCATCAATGTTCTGAAAAATAATCATAAACTTAAAATAATCCACGATTCATAATGTTGAAGAAATAAATATGTCTGCATTGACATTGATTTACTAACCCTATGTCTGACCCTCCTTGAACCAGGGAACATACAGACCCTGGCAGATTGTTGGCTTTTAGTACTGTCTCCAGAATTCTACAAAGTATTGACAGTAAAATAAACAATTACCTTTCTTGAGATAAATCAAAAATATGATTCATTCTCTTTATTTAACATGAGAAATATTTTACCGTAATTTTTTATAGTGTAAATATGAAAATATAATGGCCTTTATCAAGAAGATAAACTAGGTAAGTTATTTTTCTTAACAGGATTCATCTTTTTTGTGCAAACATAAGTATTCCAAGATAAGGAAAAATCTTTGTAAAATACTTGAACATTCTGATCAGAGCACTTCATAATTCCTTCATATAATCAAATTATATACAGTGCCCTTACACCAAGTTTTGAATATTTTAAAATCAATTCATGCACAATAATGTTTAATTCAGTCAGCTGATTGTGAAGTCTCTTACTTTGTAACAGCGACACTGACTAAGGGTGTTGTAGGAGCACCTTTCCTGTAACAGTCAGTCAACAATTAGTACTGATACAACATAACAAAAACAATATAAAGCAAAAGTACTTAACTGAGGTCTTCACTAAACAAAAACTTCACACTTATACTTTGTAATATTAGAACCTTAAGAAAAACCTAAAGACCATGATATAGAATTTTTAAGATTCATGTGCGGTGAAAGGTACACCTCATAAGTTCTCCTTACCACAATACACAGTTTCCACAGGCCAGAGCAATAGAAGAGTTCCACCCATAAACCGCCACTGGGAAGTTAAATGCAGTAATTACTCCAACAATGCCCAGTGGGTTCCACTGCTCAAGTAACATGTGACCTTTTCCTGTAAAAGAAATAATCAGGTTAAGAATAATGGCAATACAAAATGCAGAACAATAAAGAAAAACTTACCATATAGAAACATAGGCAATCAAAGATTACAGAGCTCACCTCAATAAATAATATTTTTAATTAAGGCAAGTTCCAAACTAAACAAATAATGTAGTAATAGTGTACATCTCTAGAGATGCAAAATTTATGTGAGTTTGGTCCAGGGATGGGTTGAATTTACTTGGGAATGGACTTCCTCTAAACTACAACCTGGTCACTCATCAAGAAAGTGCTGGTCAGATCCAGCATCCAAAGCTAGCCTGGTAGTGTACATCCCTTGATGCATCATCTAAACATGTTTGGTCCAGGTAGGCCTGGGAATGAACCTGCTCTATAAACTTAATCTGTTCACTTGTTGTTGATGCCTGTTGATAACCTGGTCACTCATCTGGAATATGTAGGTCAGATCCAGCATCCTAAGCAAGTCCAGTAGTGTGCATCCATAGAAGTAACACCAATGCAAGTTTGCTCTAAGTGTGGCTCGAAGTTACACTGAAATAAACTTGTTCCAAAAACATTAATCTAGTCAATCATCCAGAAAATTACGGTCAAATCTAGCATCCAAAACAAGTTTGATAGATGCATCATTCATTCAAGTTTGTCCAGATAGGGCTAGAGGTTACACTGAAATGAACCTGGTATATGATCTAGTGACGTTAACCTAGTCACTCATGTGGAAAATGTAGGTCAGATCCAGCATCTGAAACAAGTCTGGTAGTGTGCATCCTTAGAATGTTCAAGTTTGGTAAACATAGGTCTTATAGTAACTTGAAAATGAGACCTGCTCTCAAAACTTTAACCACCTCCAAAAACATTAAGCTGGTCATTCTTTGGCTGAAACTGCAGCATCTGAAACCTAAGTGGTACAAGGTAACATACAAGAAGCATCCTCCATGCATCTCTGATCAATATAGGGCATGGAAGTACTTGGAAAGAAATCTACTCCAAATACTTTAATCTGGGACACCAATGGTATTACATTAGCTCCCCCATCTCCCTTGAGGTGAGCTAAAGGTTGTGCTTTGTAGAGGACTAACATTTTAGGAATTTCAAGAGGTTAATGTGCATAGACAACATTCAAAGCATATCATATTTACAGCTGAACATGGATCATCAACTTCAGTACTACATGTTCCTAGTTTTATAACCAGATAAAATGCCTTTAAAAAGTAATTTATTCAAGGAGATTCACTTACTCTCTGAGGGAAACACATGGCCTGCAATCATTCTGGACAGACCCACAGCATAGTCAATGATATCTATATATTCCTGGACCTCTCCCTCCCCCTCAGGTAAAATCTTGCCCATTTCCAGGGACTCCTACAGTCAAAATACAAACATGGTAACTACAAAATCCAGTGTATATGTTTTACCAATTTTCATGTGATCTTTACAGATTTCTGTAAAAATCATATTTCAATTTACAAACTACTGGAAGTTTGTCAATCTTGGGTGTATCAAATTCAATCATTGATCATTTATTCAATCAACACTAGAAAGAATCCTCATTCCATTATTGTGCAATACACAGAGCTCCAGATAAGGTGCGTATTTACAGAAATATGCATTGAATTTTTTAAAATACGCATTAAAAATTAAAACAGGGCATACAATTACGCATTAGCAATCATAAATAAGCATTACACTACAAAAGTACTGCGTACATGTACGAGGGATTGAATGATACAAGTACTAATTATGTGAACTGAGGTCAGCTCAGTGTTTGAATTTTTATCAAAAGGAAATTTTGATTTATAAGCGTATTTGGAATAACCTAGGCCGATTTCCAGTTCGGGAGAAGGTTTTGAATATTAAATATACTCGTATTTTGTCTGAAAATATCACAGATTTCCATTGTTCATATAACATCCAAATTTTCGTTCTTGATGCGTACACGTCGAAATTGTCTAAATTCCACAAAAACATGCATGGTGTCTAAATTATCCTTTATCACTGTTTATTAAACAGTCCTTTTATATTTTCAATTTTCTGTAGCAATATCATCTAAAGTCCGCCGACAACCTTTATTAATTGTATGAAAATAAATGCTTTTTCGCTTTCCACATAACTCTTTTGCTATAAATAAGCGCCATGCGACTTTTAATGCAAACAGGGAGTAACTCTAAAACTTTTACCTCGATCGATGCCAACAATCTATATAGCAAAACTTAATATATTTCATTAACCTAATTGATAAATGCAGAAACTCCCCCCCCCCCTTTTTTTTATTTTTTATTTTTTTTTTTACATTCCTCTTTCAAAAACGCTTATTTCGATAACAAGCTAAAAATCACATTGGATGTCAAAAGAGCAATAGATTAACAATATACTTTTTGATTATTTTGCTGGAAAGCAAAATCTGCATTGATTTGAAAATCAGGGAGTGAATACACTTTGAGGTAAAAAATTATCTGGAGCTCTGAATATATTTTCACTAGTAAATCTTCAAAACAGTACTGTTTTCCATATGATAGGTGCACGTTCTTTTGATACTGATGATTACAGTCATAGAAATTTAAAAATCCTCAAAAGTAGTCAAAAACAACTATTCTCACATCTTAAGGATTTGTGTAGAATATCTAACTATGAGGATTATACAACTTAGGATTTTACAACTTAAGGGCGTTCATTAGGGGTGCAACGATACACTAACCTCACGATACGATACGTATCACAGTATTTAGTTCACGATATGATACGTATCACGATACATGACAAGGTTAAAAAGTCTTTCAAGTTTGTCATCATATTTTTTTTTAACTTGACAGGGTTATATCAAATGTTCATATTTTTGATAATAATTAAAATATCATTTTGTTAACTTGAACTAGATTGATAGGTAGATCTTTGAGTTGTAACAATATTCTAAACCAGTGATGAACATTTACAGGGAACTACAGGGACCTTTCCTAATAATCTTCCTTTTAAATTGGAATGAAAAAGGAAGACATTCATTCTTTTATTCCTTTTATTTACATAGAAAACCAGTTGTCATATTTCTCGTGTTAACATGTTTTAGTCAACAAGACAGCGAATTAATTTTCATTGAAATACATGCGTGATGAGATATGGTGTATTACCAAAGAATACGTTTAGATCTAAAGGGTTTATCATTTGTCTTCACATCTATAACTTTTAATCACATAAAGTCCTTCTCTGTGTTAAATCTGAGGTCTGTAAGATGCTGTAGATGAGTTTAAATGCCGTTAATGCATTATCAGCTGGTTATGTCGACCTCACGTTTTGCGCAGAAGCCATTTTGAAATTGTAAAGAAGGAAACAAAACGGACGATTCGGATAATTCTGGACCGATTGAACTGAACCCCGGTATCAGTTTAGTGTATCGTGAATTGAACCATGGAAAAATATACCGCGATATACCGTCAAACGGTTTATCGTTGCACTCTTAGCGTTCATCTGTCACTAAGCGCATGCAGTCATAAAATTATGTGTTTAGTGGTCTTCCAAACTCACCAACTTTCCCAGAAGAGTTTTCTTTTCCCTTAAGGCTTCTCCCATTTGTCTGAGAATCTCTCCTCTTTGTGGAGCTGGGACCTTCAAATAATTTTCAAAAACTCAACAAAACCAAAATACCCATTTATCTTCTCAATGTATTGCCATATATTGTAAAAATAAGCAAACAGCCACCAAAATTCAGCAAAATTTCTGAAATACTGCCGTTCTGGGACTTCCATTAATATTAAAAATACGATGTAAAAATACTAAGCTAAACAGATCCAGTCAAAAGACTTTCTCTACCTATGTAGCTATTAATAGCTATCTAGGTATTTACCGGTAAACCTACTGAAAGTAGCAACTTCTACCTACTTTTTACATATCTTTAAAAATAGAAATAATTATTACTTAAAACCAGTCAAACTTGATGTTTATCATGTTGTGCACTTGCACGGCAAAATTTGGGATGTAAATTTGTAAACTTGATTAAGATGGAGACAGGAGATGAAATGCATGAAGAATCATCCCAAATCGTCCTAAAACCTTTCATCTAAGGATGCTTGAAGGTAAGTTTTAATATTATTACAGAGAGACATTTTAGGCATTTTACATGCACCACTTTGATCCCTAGCTTCTAGAAAAATGGAACTAGATGTAGTTATTGAAGCATAAATAATAAGTTATAAAGTAGTAATTTTTTTGCCAAAATTTTTATCGTCTTCATCGTCAGTCTGACTGTATCAAGGTATTTGGTACTCACCATATTGTGACATTCATTTGGCCACAAAATGATTGTAAAGCAAAAAGTAGGTAAAAATAGCTACCTGGAGTAGGTTTAAGGGGGTCGACTGGGGTTTTCATTGCGCAATACTTCGTGCAGCATAGTAAAATAAAGCGTATTTACTCTTTTAAAGCAACTATTTTTACATAATTTATAAAAATTAACAAATTTAGGAAATCTCAGTTTAAAAAATCCAATTACGTTTTTGAATAACTGATTTTTTAAATGATTTTTCAAATGATGGGTTGATAGACGTCGTAATAGTGCGTTTTTGATGTTATGAATAACCATAGTTCTTAAGCAGGGTCATTAATTATGCCATAAAATAAAAAGTATGAAATATATGCTCTTGAAATTTTAAACATAGGAAAATGAGAATCTAACAATCATTTTTATAATTTTTTTTATGTAAATCTGTGGTATCTGTCATGTTTTCTTTTACTCCATAAAAACGGGAAAATATCATGAATTTTGACATTTATAGATGCCCCCTCTGGAAACCAGACGGTAGAATTTCGTGTTTCTTGCACAAAATGTACAATATAGTATGACCCATCAAATGATATAATTTGAGCAAATAGTCTATAATAGCATTTGTATAATTTGCTCTGAAGTGCGAAAAAAATGGTATTTTCCTGTATAATCCTATAGTAAATGTACCTGTATTCTGAGATGGTCCCTAAACCAGAAGTCTCTGATGAGACTGTAGCTCTACTGGTCTGTACGTAAAGGAAAAGTAGCACTCGGTTTTGAAACTTTGCAACATGCAGCAATAAACAGAATTATGTATCTTAATGTAGTCTACTTGTGTGCCAAGTTATATTGAAATCAAACAAAAACTATAGGAGGAGTAGCATTTTGAAAGTATTTGACAGAAATTTCTATTTAAAGTAACTATGGCAACACCATTCACTGAAATCAAAAACTGATACACACTATTATGTATCGTAGTGTAGTCTAATTGTGTGCCAAATTAGATTGAAATCAGACCAAAACTGTAGCAGGAGTAATGTTTTAAAGGAATTTTACAGAAATTTCTATTTTTATTTACCATGGCAAACCATTCATCAAAATCAAAAACTGATGCACTATTATGTACCTTAGTGTAGTGTACTTGTGTGCCAAGTTATACCGAAATCAGACCAAAACTATAGGAAGAGTAGCGTTCCTAAAGAAATTTCAAAGTAATTTCTATTTTTAGTAACCATGGCAACACCCTTCATCGAAATCAAAAACAGATGCACTAAATTATGTATCTTAGTGTAGTCTACTTGTGTGCCAAGTTATATTGAAATCAGACCAAAGCTGTAGGAGGAGGAGCGTTTTAAAGAAATTTTACAGAAATTTCTATTTTTAGTAACCATGGCAACACTATTCATTGAAATCAAAAACCGATGCACTAAATTATGTATCTTAGTGTAGTCTACTTGTGTGCCAAGTTATACTGAAATCAGACCAAAACTGTAGGAGGAGTAGCGTTTTAAAGAAATTTTACAGAAATTTCTATTTTTAGTAACCATGGCAACACCTTTCATGGAAATCAAAAACCGATGCACTAAATTATGTATCTTAGTGTAGTCTACTTGTGTTCCAAGTTATATTGAAATCAGACCAAAACTGTAGGAGGAGTAGCTTTTTAAAGGAATTTTACAGAAATTTCTATTTAAAGTAACCATGGCAACACCATTCATCAAAATCAAAAACCGATGCACTAATTTACATATCTTAGTGTAGTCTACTTGTGTTCCAAATTGTATTGAAATCAGACCAAAACTGTAGGAGGAGTAGCGTTTTGAAGAAATTTTACAGAAATTTCTTTTTTTAGTAACCATGGCAACACCAATAATCAAAATCAAAAACCGATGCACTAAATTATGTATCTTAGTGTAGTCTACTTGTGTGCCAAGTTATATTGAAATCAGACCAAAACTGTAGGAGGAGTAGTGTTTTAAGGAATTTTACAGAAATTTCTATTTTTTGGTAACCATGGCAACACCGTTCATTGAAATCAAAAACTGATGCACTACATGATGTATCTTAGTGTAGTCTACTTGTGTTCCAAGTTATACTGAAATCAGACCAAAACTGTAGGAGGAGTAGCGTTTTAAAGAAATTTTACAGAAATTTCTATTTTTAGTAACCATGGCAACACCTTTCAGGGAAATCAAAAACCGATGCACTAAATTATGTATCTTAGTGTAGTCTACTTGTGTTCCAAGTTATATTGAAATCAGACCAAAACTGTAGGAGGAGTAGCATTTTAAAGGAATTTTACAGAAATTTCTATTTTTAGTAACCATGGCAACACCATTCATCGAAATCAAAAACCGATGCACTAAATTATGTATCTTAGTGTAGTTTACTTGTGTGCAAAGTTATATTGAAATCAGACCAAAACTGTAGGAGAAGTAGCGTTTTGAAAAATTGTTTACAGACAGACGGACAGCTAGACAGACAGACGGACGGATGACGGACACCTTACTATCTCATAAGCTCTTCTGGTCTCTGACCAGTAGAGCTAAGCTCTTCTGGTCTCTGACCAGTAGAGCTAAAAATAACCAGAAGGTAGATTTTCACTAAACTTGGCATGTATACCGAAGTCAATGTAAGGTACATATGGTATAAAATTAAAGAGTTTTCACACAATAAAACCCCAGTTGGCTCCCTTAAATACCTACACTGCTATAAATAGGTATGTAAGTAGAAAACGTCTTTGGACTGGACCTGCTAAAGGAGTATGTATAGTGAAATTTCACTGTAAATTTTTTATTTAGAAAAAGATTTGTGAGATTTGCCTACCCCCTTAGTATACAAATCCCTGGTATTACTCACAAAATATTTAATGCTGATGAAAAATTTTAGTCTTTACAATGAACATTACCTCTGTCCAGGTTTGCCATGCTTCTCTAACAGCAACAATGGCTTTCTCATAGTCAGCAGGACTGGCCTATAAACAAATAATATTAGAATTTTAACTGCAAAAATTTACACTATAATAAAAGCTCAATTTTGTGTGTTACACACATATGATATCATCAGACAATGCAATGGATCAGAGCAGGATTCAAACCCAGACCCACTGAACTCTAAAGAGGTACTCTACCAATAGAGCAATCTGCCCACTGGCAGCTGAACCTGTCTGACCATCTTTTTTTCTAAGGTAGATGTGTAATCCAGTGCCTCTTTCCAAGGATTTGCATATAGCCAATAATTCTGAGAAGTGTAACGAATTTAACAGTAGTTGGCAGGTCCGGCACAATCTCTTGATTTAGCTATATAGCTTGATTTAGCAATATAGCTTTATTAAGCTATTCAGAATAGCTTGATTTAGCTATTTTATCACACTTTTTTCTTAAATGTGTTATTTTCTCAGCATGCATAAAAGGTCACACCTTGATGCAGTGATAATATTCAACCTTGAACTCTTCTGAAAATTGCGTCTCCTTAGGAGACATTGTACTCAAAGTTCTAAAAGTTTTGGGGCTATATAAAGCAATTGATACAGTTACTTCTTTAATGAAATTAAATAGGAGGCCAATTATGGTCAACAAGATAACTGATTGGTAATAATTCAGTACAATGAGAAGCAATCATACTTATCCACATCTCAACGCACACAAGGTAGTGTACAGTTACTCAAATGATGAAAATTCATCTTTTGCTTAAAAGTATTCAAATGCTGCAATGTTGGAACTATCTTTAATTTCGGTTGTTGTTTTGATAGCCCATAGCACAGGTATGAATGGTCAAATACTTGCGACTTTTTGTTTATTTCTTACAAAAAAATTATTTTTCTGAAAAACTGCAAATAAATAGCTTTATCAAGCTATTATAGAGCAATATAGCCATTTCAAGCTATATAGCTTAATCAAGAGATTGTGCTTGACCTTGTTGACAGAATACAAAAAAGGTGGAGTTATACTGAATATATTTCTTCTCACCTGTGTGACTTTCGCAATAGGCTGATTGTTTGTTGGACAAAATGATGTCACCTCCTGTAAGAAAGAAAAACAAAACAGCTGATTTACCTAGTTCTTATACCAGCCAATCAAAATTGTTCATTTGCACACACCTCTCCTATAAAACATTTTTCACTTCGGAAAACAACGAGAGATGAATGCACATTATAGAAATTGTCATCTCTTTTAAAAAGAACTGAAGAAACTATATAAATTTATTGATAAAAAATAAAAACTAATTTTAAACAAATGATACCGCATATTCAAATGCTTAAATAATACTTGTAGCCGAAACTTGTACCTCGCCAGTTCCTCCCCAAACCCCGTAAAATACTCCTTTATTCGTGGCTCCTAGTCCTAGATCCTTCAACCAGGAATACTTAGGGTCATCTATCAACATGCTGGACATTGCTCGAGTTATCTTATGAGAAGCAAACGCGGATCTAGTGATAAGAACTTGTGCACGTCGTAAAATCGTCACAGTCGCCATTGAGAGGTCTTTGGGTGAATTCAATATGGCAACAAGGGGGGTCAATGACAAAAGGGTCACTAAATTTAGCTTTTATTTATAATCACTGTGGTCTATATCGTCAATTATAAATAAAGTAAAGCATTACAATTAGAATATACTCATTTTCTATGTTTAATTATGTGATCTAAATAGGTTGACAATATCAAATCAACAACATCGTGCAGTACCCTCCCCTGCACCTAATAGTTTCATCCAAGATACAATCTAAAACAAAAACCTGTATGATAGGCCTTATTTTTCCGAAAACTTTCATAAAAAGAAATTCGACAGGGAACTGGGCGCACCTAACAAGCCCGTAAAACGCGGAGAGAGGGGAGGGGGCCCGGCCCCCACTTTTTTCTGAGTAGAAATTGAAATAGGCAGATATTCAAAGCCTTGTATCCCAAAAGAATCTCGTTTTTGTCAATATTGTAAAAATGTTGTAGAAAATGAAATACATTTCATATATGACTGTCCTATATATAAAGATTTGCGAAAAAAGTATTACCCCTTGAACATCTATAATTTAAATGATAACATGTTGAAGGAAAATCATTGTAAAGTACTTTGTAATCCTGACAATGCAGTTCATTCTAGAAGGCTATGCGAATTTTTACATGAATGTTTTGAATTGCGTTCTAAAAATAGAGCACAATAATATATATTTAATGCATTAATTAGTTTATCTCTGTCCATATTATACTGTTTATACTATTTGCATAATGATTATGTATAACTTCAAGTTGTAAACGTAGTTGACTTCACTGATTTGTACACTTGCATATATGTATGTACTTTAGTATATGTTTTAGTAATCTGAAAACACACTGTATTTTTCATTTCGTTTGTAACATGGTTGTATGCCAACATGTTTGGTGAATCAATAAATTGAATTGAAATTGAGTATAGTATTTTGCTATAGTAAGTCTTCCTTTAGATGCTGGCCCCCCTCCCCACTTTTTGTTGCTGTATGGTCGAGCACTGACGAATTCCAGGATTCGGACAGTTAAGGAGTTTTTTTTTAATGCCCCCGTAATCGAAGATTTAGGGATATATTATACTTTTTGCCCTGTCCGTCCGTCTGTCTGTCTGTCTGTTTGTCTGCAAAAAAAATTAACATTGCCCATAACTTTTGATTGGTTAGAGCTATGCCTTCCATATATCAAATGTTTATTCCTTGACGATGACAAGACATTCCCTTGGGTACCAACATATTTGATCTCTTGTCCTTGAAGTTTGACATACTTTTGAAAAACTTTAACCTTTGCCATAACTTTTGAATAGTTGGTGATAGGGCTTTTATATTTTGCATGTGTATTTCTTATGGCAAGGTCTTCCCCTGCGTACCATTAATTTTGACCCTTTGACCTTGAACTTGGAGTTTGACTCACTGAAAACATTAACCTTGACGATAACTTTTGAATGGTTGGTGCCTGGGCTTTTATATTTACCAGGTATATATATCCATTGACACGTCTTTTTTGGGTAGCAACATTTTTTACCTCTTGACCTTGACCTTGGAGTTTGACATGCATTTGAGAAACTTTAACCTTCGCCTTAAGCATCAGTGTTTCACAAACACATCTTTCTTTCAGATTTTTTCAAACCGATGCTACGGGCCTAAATCAAACAGTCTAAATGATCCGACACTGTATATTTTAGCATTCTAATGATTTATCGGGTTCCTGTGGTTTCAGAAAGGGAAATATCTTTCCGATATTGTGTATTGTTTTCCTAAAATGACCAGATGATTCATTTGATACAATGTGTTGCATTCGACTTTATATTTAGATTTGCTATCTCTGGACCATCTCTCCACGATTTTAAATTATTATTTGTGTGAATTTAAACTCAACAAAACGAGCAAACACATTTTTTTAAATGTAATCAGAGAGATCGAAGACCAAGAGACCATAAAATGAACATTTAAAAAAAGGGGGGGGGGAGAACAAAAAAATGACATTCATTGTGTAAACTCATTTCCAATATGTTGCAACGATAGCACTGTGATTTTGATCGACCATTTTTTTTTTTTTTACAAAACAAAGAATGTTATTCGACCCCTTTTATTCAGTTATTGCTTCACTATGGACTGATTGAGTTGAACTCAGTGTTGAAAAGACGCTCGAACTTTTATTCTATTAGTTTTGTCAAACAAAACCGGCCGCGTCTACGATCCACTGTAACAAAGTTACCAGCGATTGTAGTGTAGATTATAAAACACCTTGTCAGCAAATACAGTCTATCATTAAGTAGAATGCTGACCGACGTTTTTCATACTAATTGTTATTCATTATCCATTATTTACACACTGGATTGTCTACGGATTTTCCCGATCATGACCGGTCGACATGAGATGCTTACTCCTCCATGGCACCTGATCCCACTTCTGATTTTTTTTTTAAAGGCCCGTGTTTGCTCTGCTCCCAATTTGTATTGTTTCAATGGACTTTTGAGCTTGATTACTCTTCGTTATCTCCATATTTCAATTTAACCACCGTATTTGTATCTCTGCTGGTGGACAATCTATCCCGAGGATAATTTTGGTACTTCTTCCTTCATGAGTAGTACATAGTATAACGAAATGATACTGGCAGATACTGATATACCCTGTATAAAAAGGCGTCAGTCTTTTGAGTCTATAAAGGACATGGACTCAAGAGTTCAATCGGTGTCCCTCGAATAATCCTCAGGTATATTAAACATGTGTCATATGTGCAGTCTTCATATTCCTAGTTTTGGTACAAAACCAACAGTTCATACATAAAAATTGAAGGAATGTACAATTTCTATTAGAGATATATTTGAAGATTCCTTTTCCGATCCCATGTCTTCTATTTCAAAATGTTCTGTCAAGAACTGTAAAACCTGATGTTTTGATTACAATAACAAAACCCTGCAAGTGGTAATACAAGGAGGAAATTCTTCAAAATCTATGTCAGTATTAAATATTGTTAATCAAAATGAATTTGAATTACCATACTTATACTGGATTCTGTACTGGATTCCTAATCAGAAACATAGCAGGTTCCAGTAAATGTTCTACCAAGCCGCTTTCTTTAATTTACTTCTCACTAAAATATCAATAGCAATGAAGGAGAAACTTCAAGATTACTGTAGTATAACAGACTATAGCATACTTGAACAAAACTTCAGTGCAAAATTAAAATCCGTCGAAATTACACCACCCCATATCGTATATACCAGTACTTAGAACTGCGAACGATAGTATTGTTCTCCCGCATACTTCAAAGTCAATTTTCAAAAGTTAACACATTTGAATGATTTTTCATATCTATATATATAGATATTTATATGAATTTTCATAAAACATTACTTCGTTGGGAAAACAAAGAGAGATAACTCTATAATTTTGGTAAAACGTGTGTTTTTCACTATAGAAATCAACGGAAAAAGGAAAATATTTTTAAAACATCCCCCCCCCCCCCGTGAAACAAAAATTCCCTTTTACAGGTAATATGGACTGTCCTTTCACAAATTCGTACCAAAGCTGTTTGTGTTTCACGGGGGGTGGGGTGGGGGGCATATGTTTACAGACAAAAAAACCACAAAAATGCTTATTTTTTTCACCAATTTCAAAGGGGTTTACAAGTAAAACATTGTATTTTATTAATAATATATGTTTAATTTTATATGAGTAAAACATAAGAAAAGATTTAAGGAACATCTATTCATATCCAAGAATATTTTAAAGTGTGGTGATGCTTTAAAGCCCGATTTCAATGAAAAATATCGTCTACCCCCCTTATTTAAAAAGCTGGAATTAGGGGTAATGAACTATTTAACACTGGTATTAAAATTATCAGTCAATACCATTGAAGTGTTCTTTGCATTCAACAAAGATTTTACGGCCAAATTGCCATTAGTATTGAATTAAATGGGGGTAAAATGTAGGCGGGAATCGAGAGTTAGCGTGCGTAGTTCTTTACGATTTGCACCCTTGAAAATAGTCTCCGCATGTTAACTTTTTTCCCTTGTCAAGGAATTTATGTTTGCCCCTCCACCCCACTCCCAGCTGAATTTGTTTTCTACGGGACAGATCAAAAATTGTGCCACTGTTGTAAAGAAACAGCGTTAGAAAAAAATTCTATCTCGCAGACTACAAATATTTTACTGTCATTAATCCAAAGTTTCAAGTATTCCCATAGTCAAGCGACCCAGCAAAGTCACATACATTTTCTTTGTTAACCTGATATACATGTATGTATATGCATGTATCAGACATCGTCCATGTCTATATTACTGATATTGAATTACTGAATAACTGATTCTTAATTCATTGCTCTCTCTCTCTCTCTCTCCCTCTCTCTCTCTGTTTTACTTTATTATTTACACTTCATATTTTCAATTTATTGTTTGCATGATTTGCGATTGATTTTGAATAACACGGATGTTGTTTGTAGATTTCCTGACAATTATAGGGATTAATAAATAATGTATGAATTTATTGATTAAGATGGCCAGTATCTCACCATCATGAAACAGGAGAAATTCCTTAACACTTATACATGGATATTAATATTTCTTTGTTTAATAATTAGTGGGACATACAGCGCATACAAAGGTACGTTAACTTGTAAAAGTCTGAGATAAAACCTTGTGTCATTTTCGTAAAAAGTTATAGCTTTTTGAAAAGACAAATGGCGAATACAATTAATTTTGATTGGATTTTCAGAGAGAACATGTATATATTATTATACCGAAGTTATGTCAATGATTTGTGAGTTAACAAGAAAGATTCTACGAAGATTCGTTGTAATCATTATTGAAAATTAGATTGCAAGATCTTTTGTCTTGACATTATTTGATATTTTTCGAAATTAACATTTTATTACATGTACGTTCTGATAATACCCTATCGCCTTAGTTTTATACGCTATCACTTTAGTTTATGCTATCATGTCATTGTCTTTTTTTCCAAGATGTTCTATTTATTCTTGAGTCATCAGAAAATATCTCTCAAGATAACTTTGAAGAAGTAGTGGATTTCGTTGCCAACGTGACGTCATGGCTCACAATTGAGCGGAACGAGACCCTCGTTTCTGTGATTACATATGCTTCAAATGTGACAGAACAGTTTCCATTGACCACGTATGCCACTTCTCTCGAATTAATACCCGCTATACAATCACTGAAGTCCATCATGCCAACAGGCGGAACCTTCACTCATCTGGCTCTGAATTACAGTTATTCAAATTCCTTTGAATCCAGAAATGGAACTTCCAAGGCAATTGTGGTTCTGACATACGGGAAGTCTCATAGTCAAAATGAGACCCATAAAGCAGCAGATGACCTTCGGTCAATTGGAGTGGAGGTTTATGCAGTGGGAGTGGGTAGTGAATTCATGTACTCTGACCTACAGGCCATAGCTAACGATCCAGACACAGATTATATCTATCACCTGGACGACTTTGTATATCTCTGTAACGTCATTCCAGGCATCGTCCATAAATTAGGTAGATACAAATCTATGAATATAATATACAAACACCATTATATTTTCTACATTATTTTTTGTTATATCCTGAAGATTTTTTTTTATTCTCAAATATCCAGTAGAGGAATTACACAGGGAATGGGACAACTCACTTCAACTTTTATATTCAACAAGATTTGGACAAAATAAAAAAAAATTGCGAATCGTAATATAATTTGTAGGTGAGGTTAAAGGTAGAATATTTACGTAAACATCACATTCCTCGCACTTCTTACTCTTTATATTTTCAATATAAGAATTCATTAATCTTCGAAAGGAAAAGAAATAAATATATACATGTATGTTTATTTTAATTAATACGAACGCGTGAACTTTTTGGAGTGCTCATGAAAATGTATCATTTATGTATTTTTTTCACTCATTCTTTGAACTGTTAGTAAAAAAGTAAAAGACAAATCTTCTTTACATAAGGCCATTTTAAGTTTTTTTTCTGTGCTTAACGTTCGCCTTGGTTTTTTGAAACCCGAGATCAGAAAAAACTACACAAAATCCAAAGTCACGAAATTAATTAATATGGTAGAAACATCCGAATGCTGTCATTTTCATTCTATATTTAAACAAAAACCCATCAAAATAGTAAATACTTAGCATTTAATACTTTCGTTTGCATAGTAATCTATCTCTCTGCAAGAAAATAAAATAAAGAAACACACACAGATAAAACATTCGTTTTTAAGACTTTTAAGTTTGTGTTTAATTTTAGGCTTGTGTGATTTTTGTGAATAGGTAGGTAGGTAGGTACTTGAACAATGATGGACGCTAAAAACTTGGAATGGCCTAATGAAGCTAACTGCGACATGCAATACACATTTTCCATCAAATTGAATTACTAAAGAACACTTCATACACTGCACACGAAAGAGTTCTGATTCTGTGGTGTTTGATGCAGTTAAGAGGTATCTGCCCTTTGATCTTATATAAAATAAATTGAAATTTAACGTGTATTATTTAATCTGATATTAATTTATGCATTTTAATAGGCCTAGATAATTAAATTGAACTCTTTATTTGCATGTATGTATTTGCATCCCCACTTAAACAGTGATTTCTTTCATTGATACCTCGTTTTTTTTCCTGTGGGCAAATGCCAAGTACTCTATGTTAAAAAATAAATGGACAAGCTCAATATCTACACAGTATAGGTTTCTCAACCCCACCCCCCAAATAATAATAATAAAAATAAAAAATAAAAAACAAAACAAAACACGTTCCTTTAGTGTATAGAGGGTTCTTAAATAATACCAATACATATTACATGTAATTCACATTAAAGGACTTAAACAATACTAATACCAGAATAAAAATAAATTAAAATGATTTAAGTTCGTTTAATTTTTGGTAATATCGCAAAAAGCGAGGATCCTCGCTCCTTCCAAACCAACGCTTCAATGAAAACACAGAGGCTCTTTATTTTAGCAAGACAATTTACATTAATTTAACAACGTCCCCCCCAAAAACTAACTTATAATGACTTTGACTGTAAAATAAAATAAATTATTATATTATTCGCAGAGAACACTGCAGTACCAATCTCAGACTCAGGCTGTCCAGAAATAACAACAACAACATCACCGAAGATTAATGCAACGACAGACGAGACAATATCAACAACGACAGAGGAGTCAACGTCTATCGCAGACAATACAACAGGTATATTGTTCGTATTCACAATGCTCATCCTGGTCTATCAATACACAAAACTGTGTTCTGTTGATTGGTATTTTATCGTAGCTTCTAGGCAAGAGCAATTAATAAGCACTTTATAAAAAGAAGACAATCTTAAACGTTAATTGATATTGAACTATCCTTAGTTAACTGAATAAGCCTGCTCACGGCTACAGTGACCAACTACTTTGTCATTTCAAACTAATGTCGCAATGATGACTTTGTCAAAGCATGATACCCAGATTCTTTTGTCTTCTCGGTCACTGGAAAGTCCAATAATGTCATTCAACCCATGATCCTTTGTCATAATGTACTGCAGGAACTTGCCATTTTTATCTAATAAATGAACTCGATCTTCATGGTCTCCCACAAGTATGCTACCCAACGTACTGCAATCAATGCATTTTGGTTCAAATTTCCCACCATTGAGACCCTTGTACGTAAATTTTCTTTGACCGTCTGCAGCAACTGCAACCACACACTTCTTAGCCATGTCCACTACTACAATGTCTCTTGTCACACTTGAGGCGACTTTGGCGGGGTTTTGAAACATCAGTCGCCGACGTTCATCACTACAAATTTGCTGCAGCGATTTTCCCGTGCTGTCATACCGCACAATTTTGCCAAACTGATCCTCTTTGTGATAGAGACATGCCAAAATTTCTCCATCTTCGTTTACACACAGTCCCTGAGCATGGAAAGGACTGGTATCAATAAAGCGGGTAAATGATCCATTTTTCAGTTTTTTTATTTCCATGTTCCATGTGCTCATGTAAAGATCCTTGCCCAGCTTGGAACATGCAATGTTGTATGGCGTTATTTCCACCTTGATGCTGGCTAAAACTTTTCCAGTTATTGTGACGACCTGAACAATTCTCTCCTCTGTTCCTATCATGGCGTTTCCATTTCCGGTAGTACATATACTGTAAATCCCATTTCGAGCTTTCTGGGCGAAGCTGGCGATGACTTGAGCTTTTACGTTGAGAGGAAACGCGACGGTTGTTCGGCGTCTCGTCAACACTGGTCTTGGTTCGTATTCTAAAGTTCCAAACACCTTGGAGAATTCTTCGTCTTGTTTGCCAGAAACAAATTCCGGCGGACAAATCTTTTCTGGTCCGGTTTCAGCAGATGGTAATTTCAGTTTTTCTACTTTCCGCTCAGTCTCTGCACATGCATCAAGCAAACTTATACCACTTTTGTTTGATAAGTTGTTTCTGCAGAAGTGAATCGTTTCTGCCACTTTCGTTGAGAGATTTTGCAGTTTGAATTGTTTTCTATTGATGAACTGTAAGTCTACTTCTTCTTTGGTTTCAATTTCCTTAAGCATATTGTCAGTAATGCTGTCCAGTTCAAATTTCAACTTCTCGTTTCTTTCTTTTATTAATTCCCTCTTTAGAGCTGCACTAGATACATACTCAGCTTTGTTTTCTTCATAGTTTTCTGTCATTTTTCTTGCCTTTTCAAGTTCATATTTTTCAAGGTGTTCGAATTTCTTTCTCAGCTGGTTAAATTTTTGCTCAGCGGCATCACCGATGTCCGAAATATTGTGAGTCTTGTGAATTGTCCGAACACAAATGTGACACACAAGCATGTCGCATAAATTGCAGTACAATTCACATACTTGTTCTTCGTGAATGCGACAGATGTGTAATTCGATATCATCTATATCAATGGCGTCACTTCCGGATTCCATTTCGTCATCTTTGTCTTCCCGAAGAAGCCATATTCCATGCTGTTTACTTGCATTACTTCGGGAGTGTAACGTTTGACAATTATCACACAAATTCTGGGCACAATCATGACAAGCCCAATTCACAAGGAAATATGAAAAACATAGATCACATTTAACGTTAGCAGGATCTGAAATGTCAGGAAGCGCTTCTGCCATTTTACTACAAGTGAATTAATGAATTTCGCAAGCGTTTCATCGTGTTGTCTTTTTCCGGAACATGCTGCAGCGAGTGCCTACCAGAGAGATGTCAGATCGGAACATAGAACATAGAAATAAGTTTCTCTGGTCGTTGTAACTCAATTAGTCGTCGCAATGACGTTGTTTTTCGCCGATGGTCAGACATTAAGATAGACATCTACAGACCTTCACTCTATCACGTCCTCTGTACTTATGTTTATATTATGTACAGTTGTAAACACTTACATTTCTCCTATTTATTGGCGTACATTATCATTTATTGATCTTTTCTTCTCAGTGTTAAATGCTCACGTCTAATTAATGCTTTGCAAACTGAAATCCACGTAGGCAATATTTTTTTTGCTATTTTTGTCAATAGCTTCATCCAATATGTGCAGCAGTATTCTTACCGCGCTTACGTGTTTAAAATTCTGCCTTTTTTGGGACATAAACAATGTTTTTAAACATAATTTACTTCGGAAAAAAACTGTACATTTAAAAATATTTATGTTTAATGGGAAGTGTTGTAGCCAGATTTGATAAAAGCAGAGAGAGAGAGAGAATGTTCTAAATGACCGGTCCCTCAAGGGATCAATAAGTATTCTTAAGTATGCTGGAGATTGACATGAATTCCATTTTGCATATTTATAGAACCAACAGGTGTGAATTATAGTATTTCTTGAGATTTACTTGAGATAAGGGGTCTATATGTGTATCTGTGTTTTTGTAAATGAATTATCAAATATTTCGCTTGTTTATCGTATTTTTTTCAACAAAAGTTGATTGAGATATATTAGAGGTATAAACATGCTTTTGCAATTTTCCGAATAAAACAAAGAAATTGAACCAGTATTATCCATTCCTTACTTTATCTTTTATAGTTTACGCTTTTGCATACATTAAGTAATGAAATCATTTCTATTAATTCGTCATATTAGAATGGCATTTAAAGAACTATATTGGTTTCTGTCATATACTTTAATTCCGATAAAAAGTGCGTAATAATGAGTAAAAGGTTATAACGTATGTGTCATAATGTGGATAAAAGGCAAAAGAACTTACGACTAAGACCAAAAACTTCAGTTTATTGTAAAATTTTGCAGACTTAATGATTCTGTTCAAAATTGCCTTTTGTAAAACGGACCAGGTTTTAAGGCGTTTGATAAAGGACTCAAAGCTCATTGCATCATGCAATTTGCTTGCTAGATATTTAAACAAGATTTTTAAAGAATATGTAATTTTCTAAAATCATGCAACAGTTCCTGCTAGATTGACTGCAGTAAAGATTCACAAAGGTGAATTTTCTATATATACATGATCAATCTAGCTCACCGCACATCCCATAGGACCTAAACCCTGGATACGTTGGGTATGAATTTCACATTTTTGGTAGAGAGCTAATTTCTCATTATAATAAATTAAATACTGGTAGTTTGCAGCTAGATGTCCAGGAATAAAGATTTTAAAATGAATAATATATTTTCAATATGTAACCAACCCTTCATGCCCTTCTGCGAAACTTGAACCCTGGACAAAGGGGACATCCATTTCACATTTTTGGTGGAAGGCAAATTGTTCAGTATAATCTTGCAAAAAGTTTGCATACTTGGTGTCCAAGAGAAAAGAAGAAAGAGTAAATAAATGTTGAATAAATGACAAGGTATAGTCTTACTGAGAGGGAGAGAGGAAGATTTTTAAAGAATTTATGCATTTTTACTATATGATCTATAGAGCCCTGTCCTAACACCAGAACCCCTGACCCAAGGGCCAAGATATTTACAATTTTGGAAGAGGCGCTCTTGCTCACCATACCTATATATACTTGGTTTACCTGCTAAATACCTAGGAGCAGAGAAGATTTTCAAAGAAATAATGCACTTTCGCTATGTAATCAATAGATCCCCTCTCCTGCAGAACCCCTCACCCTGGGGCCACAAATTTCACAAATTTGGAAGAGGCACTCTTGATCATCATAACCATACACCTAGTTTATCTGCTTTATATACAGGGGGAGAGAAGAAGATTTTTGAAGAATTTATGTGTGTTCACTACATGATCATTAGAACCCCACCCTAACTCCAGAACCCCTGACCATGGGGCCAGGAATTTCAACATTTTGGTAGCGGGCTCAATGCTTATTAAAATCATGCCAGCAGTTTGACTGCTTGATCTCCAGGAGTAAAGAAGAGGATTTTTAAAGATAGCACTAATTTTGATAATTTTAGCCCCACCCCTCAGGCCCCAGGGGGGGGGGGGAGGGACCATGAATTCACAATTTTTTACCCTTTCACCCATTGATGCTACATGTCAAAATTGGTTGATATTGGTTCAGTGGTTCAAGAGAAGAAGCTGAAAATGTCCAAAAGTTTATGACGCACGTTGCACAACGACGGACGAAAAAAGATAGCAATAGGTCACCTGAGTGACTCAGTTGACCTAGAAATCAATTTAAAAAATCTTCTCAAGAACAGCAAAGCCATGATTAGTCACTTTAATATGGAAGCATCCACAGATAGTGTAGCAAATCATAGATAGATAAGACATGATAAGTCATATTTATATGGAAATATCCTCATGTAATGTACAATCAAATTTATTTAAATCATAACCTCTGGGGGTAGGGTGAGGCCACGATGGGGGATCAACTTTTGACATGTCTATGTAAGGGAAAAAACTTCAAAAATCTTCTTCTCAGGAGCAGCAAAGCCATAATTAGTCATATTTATATGGAAGCATTGTGGCAACGCACTTTGAAAAAAATTTTCAAAGTGCGTTAAAATTGGGACAAAATCAAATCACTTTGAAAAAAATTTTCAAAGTGCGTTAAATTTGGGACAAAATCAACGCACTTTGAAATTTTTTTCCAAATTGCATTAAGAGTGTACATCAACATTTTTTACCATGGAGACACTTAACGCTTTTTGAAAAAATACGTACAAAACAGAAATTCTGGACTTAGATTTTAGTAATAGACAGCATTAATTTGTTATATTTCTTCCGAAAAACTGATGAATTCATCGAGAACGAGGAGAAGACAGGTAGAAAGTCCCTCAGCCCAACACTCTATCTTTCTCACACAAATATATGTATTTACATAACTGGTATGATATTTGATATTATTTCTCTCAATAAATTTCAGTGAACGTAAAATAGATGAAAATGATTGAGATAAGCTTTCCTGAAAAAAAGGTACGCACCCTCTTATATCAAAGAAGAGAGCCTCATAACCTTTATTCAAAATATATCCACAATGATTCCTCAGAAAAAAAGGCATTTACATGGTAACTAAAACATGCTATTGGACATGTCTAGCGGTTTTATGATATCAAATTACAGATTTAGAAGTAATCTGACTGCATAACTTTTTTGAGAAAAAGTTAATAGTGAACGAGGTAAAAATTTCAATCGAGTGAGTAATATGGCTAAGGTTTATTTTCTTACTATCAAATAAATGAGTCAACCATTGTTTCATATATGTTCACAATAGATAGATAGATGAATATGCTGAGAGAGAGAGAAAATTTTCATAGTATGGAAAAAATCATGATTACCCCCTTTTCCCTAAGAAAAATGCAATGCTTTAAGTCACTTATCAACACCTACATCTACCGAACTTATTAGAGACTGGATAAAATTTAAAGAATAAAAGAAAAAAAGAAACGAAACTGTGCTATTAAACAATCATTCCTCCTTTATTTCTAAAAGACCCATTTCCCTTTTATAACATCTTCTAGAACCTTTGGAAACAAGACAACTCCTAAAAATCTTTAAAACGTCTATATCTCAGATCCTGACGTCATCACCGAAAAGTTATCCAACCAGGTTCAAATAATTATTTATCATACCTAAAATTTGCAAGAATATTGACCAAGCCGTGCACAGTTTTTTTTTCAAAGTGCGTTAATATGGTTCGATATTAACGCACTTTGAAAAGGAATAATTTTTTTTTCAAAGTGTGTTAACGTGGTCCCAAAATTAACGCAATTTTTCAAAGTGCGTTGTAACAAAGCATCCCCAGGTATTGTAGAATCAATTTTGTTCAAATTATTGGACAAAATCTTCAAAAATCTTCTTCTGGAGAACAGCAAAGCCACTATTAGACATATTTTTAGCTCTACTGTTCTGAGACAAGAGCCTATGCGATAGTAGGGTGTCCGTCGTTCGTCCGTCTGTCTGTCTGTCCGTCCGTCTGTAAACAATTTTTCAAACCGCTTCTCCTCTTACAGTTTTGGTCCGATTTCAATATAACTTGGCACATAGGTAGACTACACTAAGATACATAATTCTGTGTATCGGTTTTTGATTTCAATGAACGGTATTGCCATGGTTACTAAAAATAGAGATTTCTGGGAAATACTTTCAAAATGCTACTCCTCCTACAGTTTTGGTCCGATTTCAATATAACTTGGCACACAAGTAGACTACGCTAAGTTACATATTTCTGTGTATCGATGTTTGATTTCAATGAATAGTGTTGCCATGGTTACTAAAAATAGAAATTTTTGTGAAAAACTTTCAAATTGCTACTCCTCCTACAGTTTTGATCTGATTTCAATATAAGTTTGCAAACAAGTAGACTTCACTAGGATACATAATTCTGTTTATTGGTATATGATTTCGGTATACGGTGTTGCCATGGATACTAAAAATACAAATTTCTGTGAAAAACTTTCAAAATGCTACTCCTCCTACAGTTTTGATCTGATTTCAGTATAACTTGGCACACAAGTAGACTACACTAAGATACATAATTCTGTTTATTAGTTTTTGATTTCGTTGAACGGTTGCCATGGTTACTAAAAATAGAAAATTTTCTGTGAAATACTTTCAAAACCCAACTGCTCTTACAGTTTTGGTCTGATTTCGGTATAACTTGGTAGACAAGTATACTACACTAAGAAACACAATTGTCTTTATTTTTTTATTTTGTTGAATGATATTGCCATGGTTATTAAAATAGAATTTTTTGTAAACTTCTT